TGACGATGAGGAAGGCTCTACTTATACACTACTCCACTATCTCATGTTGCTCTATCGTCCTCGACACTTTCCGATGTTGTTCGATGAATGATCCGACGGATATCTTAAGAATATTAAAAAAATTTATAATAAAATTATAACTAGTAATAAAAAATGTTAGATCATAAATTACATATAAATTCAATTAGGAATATTCTTGTGAACTCCCTACCAACAATATTATTATTACATGTAACTCCCTCCATCACAAGGCGCAATAAATATCGTTTGTTGATGCCGTATGGACCCGACAAATAAAACGTAATGTCGTTTCCACGATACACTTACTTGTAGCTGAGGCAATCAAATTCAGCGGAGAAAGAAAGCTGCATTTATGAAAAGTAGCGGTCAATAGATTTTTTTCTCTTCCCTTAAATAAGTCAAAAAAAAGTTTTTTCTTAATAATAACAAGTTTTACGTCTTTATTGAAACATTCATATTAGTTAATATATTATTACATAAATGATTGAGCCCGAGAGAGAGAGAGAGAGAGAGAGAGAGAGAGAGAGAGAGAGAGATTTAGACATTAAGGATGTTGAGGTGACTTGTTCCTCCCAACTAGTAACAATGATTGGCAGACATACATTGATCACATATGATTTGATAATTATATAGTTTGTGATGGAGGGGGCTACATGTAATAATAATATTGTTGGTAGAGAGTCCTCAAGAATATTCCCAAATAAATTTATATGTAATTGTCGGTGCAAAGTTTAGTTCTTATCTTATTTATGTAATACAGTTCATTTATTCTGTAAAATTAATTATATATATATGTATATGTATATATATATATATATATGTTGTTTATATCGTTAAAGAAGCTGCACATATCTTTCCTACGTCAAATCCAATGGCAGGTCGGCTTCTCTGCGTGGAGAACAGACATAGTTAGCAGCTATAAGAAAGAGATGAATCATTAAAGAAGTTGATGGTGTGTGAGATGACATCGAGTAAGACTCCTTATCACCAATGCAAGCAAAAAGTGGTCCATCAAAGCAAGACAATCCCTTAATAGCTAACAACTGTTAGTGTTTAATATAGATTCGAAACGTAAAACGTTTTTTGGATTCCTCAAAACTAATATCCCAAATATAATTCTTGTAATGTGGGAGGAAGCACCGTATCAATTGATCCGAAGAAATCTTTCACTTGATCTGGCTAATGAAACGAGAATAGTTACTAGAATAATGTGTAAGATGAATTGATCTTGACGTATCCATAAAATTCGAATAGGTTAAAATGATCACAGAAAGTATTCTGTCCTTTTCCTCGCATCATCACTCCGTCGTACTTCAATCAGGGAAACAACATGATAGCGAAAGAAAGGACCATAAATTCCTCTACTTTACGGAGACGAGGAAAGGCAACAAGAATCCTTTACAGCATCTCCGCCAAGCATTAACAAAAAATAAGAAGGACAAGAAGAATAGAATACCCAAGAAAAGGAAGGCTGCAAAGCCAGTCAACTGCTGTGGTAAAATCATGTTTACCGTAACGTAACACAAAGTGTTAAGATTATATGGTTCTGTATAACTAGATATATTATAGATATAATTACATCTTGATTATAGTTATCATTCGATAAAAAAAATTAATTATGATAATTTTTTTAAAGTAAAAAAGACTCTTAATTAATTATCTTAGAATCTTTACTTTTGTTTAGAAATAGATTGAATCTGGAGACACAATATAATATAATACATGATATGATGTGATACTATTGATAGATTACATATCTTCTCTTAGTCACCTGATGTTATTGAGAGGCTCGTCCTCCTTCTAAATAAGCATTATCGTAACTTTCGGATTAGATGATAATACGTTTATAAATCAGATAATTTTTTTTAAATAACATTATATACATCGTATATTTAATATACCATTATTTAATTTTAATTTTTAGTATTAATTTTTTTATATAATAGTAATATAATTATGATTCTTGTGTTTATAATTGGTATCAAAGCTATATTTTGAAGTTAAATATTTTAGATCTGTTTGTAAGCATCATTATCTTGTGAAAAGATATTTTTTATTTTTTATTTACGATGCTTAAACCATTCATCTATATTATCAATCTACTTTTCTATTTAGTCTATTGACCACTTGCTTATAAGCGTTATGAGGTTCCTCGTATTTGATCGATGGACCATCATCAACAACTTGCTATTAGTGATAATATTATTAAGGGCGATGGCCTCCAACAGTTGATAACCCAATCACAAGCAACGATTATGTAGAGATACTATTATATACAGTAAAAGCATTGTAGGGTACGATAGCTTGTGGTGATCGCATTTATGGCTGCATGTATGCAGCATCCTTACGATAGTCAACCTGCCTTAGTTACAAGCGGTTGCGACGGATGCAGTTACTGCGATACTACCTTTGACTGACGGTTGCAACAATGTTGTTATGACAACAACTAAATAGAATACCATGATTCCCAATGGTCGGGTTGACGCATGGGAACAACCGCACATTATGACGATCATGGGGGGTCATTAGTCGACATGTGTGCATAATTGTGTATTGGGACAATCGTCGACAATGCTCGATCGATAGCTCATGGCCGTGGAGGTGTTCTGCCCATGAAAAACCCATGGGCCATGAGGACAATCACATGTGGGTATAATGGCATGACAATTGATGAGATCATTAGTTAGTTGCATAAGAACAATCATTTCCTAGTACGCATGCCTCGTATAGCAACTACATAGGAAAAAGTTTAGGGTTTTATTTATTAAAATTATAATTTTATCCTTATAAATATTTTAATTTTAATCTATATCCTTTTCATAATTCTACCCTTTAAAATCTATATATTTTCAATATATATTATAAGAAAAATTATAGTTTTATCCTTTAGAAATTAAAATTTTTTGACATGTATCCTCAATTATAAAATTGACTAATTTAATTTATTTTAATTAAATATTTTAATTAAACTTCATCATGATTGTAATTTAATTGCTTGATTGGATTTAGATTCAATCAAGTTTTGAACAAAGTGAGAGAAAGTTAAATTTTGAACAAATTTAATTTTTGAGTGACTTAATCAGACTGATATTTAGCCCAATTTTGGGCCTACCCAATTAAATAAAGTTGATTGGTCTAAGAGTTACATACAAAATTAAAAAATATAAATTATAATTTTTAATAGTTTTCTCATATAACATATTGATAAAATTTTGCATGTAATAATTTAAAATATATTTATTATTCTTGGATATTTGTTTGGTTATGCATATGCATATATTTAAAGTTATAAAATAATATTTATTTTTTACGTAAAGATATGATTTATGGTTTATCATGATTAAAGTTATCATATGAATTTTTATTAATACTGATTAATATTCAATAATTATTATAGTTATTATTTATTATTATTAAATAGTATAAATTAAATTTAAAAAATTAATGAATATTATTTATAACTTATGTCCCGAAGTTTTATCTGACTATTAGTTACTAAAATGGCCTAAGATGGCATGCCTAGATGTAAATTATCCTAAATATTTTATTATTTATAAGATATTTTAAATTAAATTATATTATATTATATTAGTCTTATAGTCACCAAAATGGCATAGATGAATAATTTATAAAATTATATTAAAAAATTAATCCTAAATTATATTTAAAAAATAATATTCATAATGACATATATAATTAAGAGATTTAGATAATTCTAAATAAAATTTTATTTTAAATAATTATATAATGGGATAAGATGATACTATCTTGGATATCCTTATAGTTTAGGATTATATGTCCAAAGATAATAATACTATTCTACGATGATGGTATTAGTCATCTATAAATAATTTTATGTGATTACTAGATATGTTGATATTTTATTCAATAGTTAAATGAAGATGATAACAATAGTTCATTATTTATTAAAAAACTTAAAATATTAATATTATATTAATGTATCATAATGGTACTTCCTTCATTATATTCTTATAAATATTTATATTTTTATATTAAATTATTATAAATGACTTGAGTATATGCATGTTAGAATCTAATCAAACTAGTTCAAACTATAATTATTGAAAGTTTTATGAAACATAAATAAATGATCAAAAAAGATTTGAAGACTCAATTTTATAATAACTACTAATAATATTTGGATTTCATTACAATCTATAATTGATGCACTAAAATATTTAAATATTAATTTAAATTTATTAACAAGTCATTGATTGACATATTAATAAAAAAATTAACTAAATGAAGTGAACAGATCTATCGTTATTTTTGACAAAAGCTATTAAGTCAAGAACATAGTTGAGTTATTTTTGTATAATTTATTTTTAATTATATTTTTCTTCATTTGATTTATTTAAAATTTATTATAATAAAATTAAAGATAATTGAAGTTTAAATTAAGTGAACAGATCTATCGTTATTTTATTTTAATTTCTAATATTAATTTTTTTTAACATAATAATAAGATAATTATGATAATTCAAATATCATAAAAAGCTTTTCTTCTCGTGTGGCCGTAGCGAGGACGTCGTAGGAGCCCATTAACGTTTGGTGGACCTCTTGGACCTCCGTAGATCTCGCTCTGATGCATGCCGTCGTCACCTGCGGTGCACACACAACAGAACTTGATACGGAAAGGATGTTGGCCTCTCGTTGTGTCAATAATTTTGAGTGTTAGCCAGCTAAATTTTGAGTGTTCGCCAGCAGTCCGACAACATGTTTTACCCACCCAGCTTTTGCCTTTTCGTTCTCTCCAAGAACACAATCCATGATGTGCTAAACAATCCATGCAAAGAATTTCGAGGTGATCATATATACACGACGATGATGACTTGGGTGACTGATCAAATGCCTCCTCCGGCCAAGCCACATTTCTCGTATAATGTGGCGCATGCACATGCGCATGTACAGATATCGACGACAAATATCGATATAATGTGGCGCATGCACATGCCACTATGCTGCTTACCCTTGTTTTCATTTGCTATTAAATGCTCCCGCAGTCGTGTTCCTTCTTCCCCTCTGTCCATTTCCTCTCCCACGCAACTCCACAGCCATGTCTAGCACCCACACTGCAGTCTGCTCCATGTGCGGCGACGTCGGCTTCGATGACAAACTCTTCCGCTGCGTCCGCTGCCGCTCTCGCTTCCAACACTCGTAAATCGCCATCCACCAAACCCACCTCCCCCCTCTCTCTCACGTTTCTGATTGCATTGTCAAGTGAAACATAAGAGCTATGTGAGTTCCTCGAATCTCTTATGTGTTTGTAGCTACTGCACCAACTTCTACTACGAGGAGCCATCGGAGACTGCCGGGGTATGTGACTGGTGCCTGAGTGAGAGGTACGAGCTGCCTCACAAGAAGTCAGCAGGGAGGCATGCTATTCAACCCGCAGCCGGCAGACGGTCCGCTTATGCCAAACGCAGGACCGGAAGGAGTGCTCCAGCTTCGAAGCCCACCGGTCGCAGGTACAAGCTACTCAAGGATGTCTTGTATTGACCATCGACCATCCAACTGTTACCTATCAGAGTACTAATAACTGTATACGCACTGATGTTTCTGTGTGATATATCATTAGGGTTCGTGACCGTTGTCTCCCTGCTGTGTACAAGATGGACTACACAGATATCCACAAACACATCAAACCAATAAGAAACAGCGAAAATTGTACTTATCGGAATCGTAAATTAGTTGATTTAAACAATGATTTCATCCTGTGTGTGGTTAAACCTATTTCCCAAGGATAAATGAGAAATTACCTTGATGAAAATAAAACGCTGTGTCACGATTTGGTGGGTTTTAAGGAGCTCAAGCTCATGATCTGACCTGACGTTAACGAGTCGAAGCTCACCACTTGTGTCGTCATCGTTGTCATTTGTCGAAGACGACACGTAACTCTCCGCCGCCCTGCCGACCATGATACGGACATCGACCACATTGATCGAATCAAGGCCGTCGAAGGCAGGAAAGGATCAGATCCCAGGCTTTCCTTTTGCTCTCAACCGGTCTTCCCCATCAATCAAGACATGACGCAGAGAGATGGGTCCAAATTAGATGATGCACTTGGAAAACTCACGCACGCTTCTCCCACTTGAATTTTGTGCGCTTCTCCTACAAAGGAGATATATGGCTTCGGATCGTGTTGGATTGAGATGGGATCTTTTAGAGGTCTTGTTCTACATCCGAAATTGGATTGTGAATGCATAATTGATCTAACCTGTTTGCAGATCGAGAATCTTCTGTGAATTCTTCGGGTCATTTTAATGCGGTAGGTCAGGTTGATCAGAGAGGTTTTCCTTGTCTAAACATGCTATTTTAGCATGGTTGCTCGCGGTAATGGCGGAACCTTTTAGCTTTAGAATCGATTCGAGATCGGAATTATTGGTTGACCCCAAGTTAAGCCAACCGTGTTATTCTAGCATGATTTGGCTAGCGATATCCAAAAATGATGCCGACGTTTCCCACTTGGAGGAACCCAATCGAGATCAATAGAGCCCCAAAGATGAACCATAAGCGTCACGCATTGGGCTCACATCGACGTCGACGGCCTCGTCACGTGAAATTCGCGTGATTTGTCTGTGCATTAGAAGAACGGGTTTCTTGCTTCTTGATCGCTCGAGTCAAACCGGAAGTCGTCACCTCTTATCTTAAATTAGGTGGACAAAAGAAGAGTCCTTGGAAACAAGGCGATGCATTTATGTCTCGGTTTGGTCATTGGCATTTGTAATCCTATAATTTCCCACTTGAAAAAGAGGTGTGATGGCCAGCAGGGGTGAATATGCTTTATTTGAATGTCAAATGATAAGCTTCCAACATAAAGAGTCAAAACAGTGATCAATTTGATTACTATACTTTCTGAAGAACTCACACCACGTAGGAGGCTCTTATGCTTCCCACCTATTCCAACATATAGACTTCAATGAATGAATCCTAACCTATACAATTTAAATCAAGACTACGTTCTTCCAGACAAGGAAAAAAAAGTCAACACCATCAAATAGTAATACAACTATGACAGGTTTTATCTATACAATCAACATGATGAGAATTCCTATCCAAATTCTCCAAGCAATCGCATCACCGCCGCCGCCGATGCTGTTTCGATAAGCCGATGACGACGTCTCCGACTCGACGAGTTGGCTGAGCCGGAAGTTCGGGTTGGAGCCGTAGAGCGCCTGCGCCCCCTCCACGTCATCCACCCTCAGCTCCACCTTCTTCGTCCGCGGGCTCAGGCTCGGGTACATCACCGCCTCCTTCACCGCCGAGTGGCCGAGGCCCAGCACGTGCCCTATCTCATGCGTCGCCACTGACTCCAGGTCGACCGCCGACTCCGACTCGTCATCCCCGAAGTCCACCGCCCACCGCTCCGCCGCGTCCAGGTGCAGCCTTCCGCTCTCCGGCGAGAACGCGTGCGCCAAGATCCCCAGCACCCCGTCGAAGGGCTCCCCGTCGCCATGATCGCCGCCGTAGAACCCGACCTTGACGTCCGCCGCCTCGTAGTCGGTCACCTCCACGAACCTCACAGGGATCACCTTCGCCCAGCGGGCGAAGGCTCTCCGGATCGCCGCCGCGACGTCTGAACGGCGGACGTAGTCGATGGTGTGCGCCGGCGAGATGGCGTACGTCAGAGTTAACGGTTTCGACCCTGCCCATCTCGGCCGGCCGGAGAAGAAGGTGAACCGCGCAACAGGGCCGGTGTGGTTCGATCGGGTCACGTTCGAGTCGGGGACGCCGCATCGCGGGGTCATGATCTGGGCGAGGGTGGCGGCGTCGAGCTTGCCGGTGACCGGGAGGCCGAGGTTGGTCTGGTAGCGGACGACGGCGGACTCGAGCCTGCCGTCGAACGACTCGGCGTGTTCCGCCGGGTCAGGCTCGGCGAGGTACCCGAACCGGGTGAAGTACCGCTTCAGAACGGATAAGCCGTCGACGTGGCTCCCGCGTTCGAGGTCGAGGAGGCGGTGGAAGGATCGCCACGTGTCGTTAGCGTGGACGGGTTGGAACGCCGTCCGGTGCTTCTCATATTGGAGCTTCTCGGGGACGGGTCGAGGGGAGGTCGACAGGGGAAAGGAGAAGAGGAGCAGAGGGAGAAGGAGATGAGGAGGGAGAGAGGGCATGGGGAGAGGGAGTCGGGGATTGGTTTGAAGAGGGGGGGAGAGAAGCTAGCTTTATGGTTATTATCGTTGGATGTCTCAAATGGTTTATGGGGACCAACAGGTGTTGGTTGCATTAGTTAGTTGGTTCAGGTTTTGGAGTAGGAAACAGGGAGGGTGCTGACTTCATCATCTATGCAATTCCACACAATCTTCTATATGGTTCAGCGGTTGGTGACCAACTGGAACTTTTGAGCCTCCTGCCTTTGCTTGTTCCACTATTCTGGTCTCTCACCAAGACACCCTCTGGTGCAAGTAGTTGATGTAGCTTGCTTGCAGGATTACAACATTTATAGTTCCTAGCTTGGAGGAAGAAGGAATATTACATCAATAAGTTTTGCATATCCTTTCCTTGCCTTTGATGTACCAGAGGTATGAAGTAAAATGGTCCTCTCTTTTTCGCATGGGTCAAGCATATCATTAATTATTAAGTCATTTTCCTGGAAGGAATTCCAAGCAATTACTACAGCCACCAGCTTATTTGTGTCGCACAAATGCGTGCTGAGGCTTAGCCTTTGCCGCCGTAGTAGGAGGGAACCTCCACCCGAGCAGGTCGTTTGAATAGGACTTCTCTCTCGGAAGAGTCATGTGGTTAAGGGTGTGCGGGACTTGGACCTGTCTCGGCCTCCTCCTCCTCCTTGAGCGGATCTTTGGTACTCCTGGACCACTCGGTTCCTTGTAATAGCTAGATATAAGACCAGAACCAGATGACTACTTCCTTGGTAGCGTTTGAATCAGTGGCCATTCATGGAGAGAAAGCCACATGTACGCTTGATGATGCAGACTGCTCTCACAGAGACCATCGTCAATGGGTTCCTGCTCGTGAAGGGCTTAGATAAGGCTACGGGCTCGTAGTTCACCAAAATGGATGCAGTGGGGCCCGGCACTCCGCAAGTGGGGTTCACCAAAATGATTGCATGGTGATGGGTGGGAGAGATCGGGCAGTTAAAAGGTTGGCGTGCAAGTATACCAATCTTGTTGTACGTTGACACAGTGCGAGATCCACACCACAGATGAGTGGTTGGGCAACTCACTTACCATTGTATTCATCTTTTACTTTCCCTCGCTGTTGACTGAGAAAAGTCAATTCATCGAGTCACGCGACTACTTCGAAGCTCCCTGGATTCAATGCTTAGTGAATGTTCTGCGCATGTATTTGGATATTGGTCGATCATGGGATAGGCCCATGTAGATTGGCCACAACGCTTTCAAGAGATTGGCATTTAATTTTAGTCTCTTTAGTATTTGATTTAGTCATGAGGGTTATCGAGGATGATTAGGTTGCTTATCATGGTTGGAATCTAACTTAATCAAACAATTAATCTAGTTTATCCATTATGGCTTGGGAACTGTGTTCGCTGCTTTCTATGTCATCTGAAAGATTCCCATCCGTGCTATAGATGAACTATGTGTGTGTGTGCGAGAGAGAGAGAGAGAGAGAGAGATTGGCCTGCCATTGCAAGGTGGAAGCTGAGAGATAGTCATGTCTCTATTGCAGATAAACCAAGTATATCCCAAGGGCAGTTGGCGAAAGGGACAGCCAAGGAAGTTGCAGCACAGCAAGCAAAGCTTTTATGTGATAGGATCATGGAGCTCGCTTATATGAAACACAGGTCGATTAGAAGAGGATGCTTCTATTTTATGCCCAGCTCGCTTGAAATCATTGGAAGATGGGAGAAGCAGGAAGGGAATGAAGCTCAGTGATCCGTGACATCAAGGATAGCTACTGCTGAATGCCATTATTCCCTGTGGGCCTGACTGATAATTCTGTAATGGGATGCTGGAGGAGTGCTTAGCTTACTGAAACTTGTGTAAGAAACGAAATCCAAGTGGTGAAAGCTGGGGCATGCTTTTGATGCTGTCCTAAATGACAGAGAATCCCATCAGACTTCAGCTCTCATCTGTATGCAGCAGCATCTTTTTCCTCTATGCGCTACAGCACTGCAACATCGATGATTTATTTGGCCGTGGTGTTATTGTTCTGTATAAAGAAAACTGCTTATATATATAGTTCTTAATGATCAGGCTGTACTAATTCAACCAGCAAATTAATCCTTGTGAAAAGATCAGTATCATCTGCGACAATCCGAGGGAACAATGCAAGTTCTTTGAGTCTGTCACTGCTCTCTGCAATTATTCTCTCTAGACGTCCAGCCTCTGGCCACTGTCATACCATTCTTTACCTGTTCTTCTGTTCCTCGTCCCCGAGAAATGGGAACGACGCCAATCAGCAAATATATCTCGTGCATCTATAATGAATCAACTCCTCTTAATTCCTTTCTTTTATTAGAAGCAAAAGGGACCTTAAGACATCGTAGAAACCAACGAAAGCACAAGATAGTAGCGGCACTCCTACTGCTGCTTGTTTCTATCGGTTAATGCTGCTCACGGCCTCCTCGTCCTAAGCGGTAAAACTCCGGTGGTGGACTCCGAACTCCCCTAGTTGCACCAGGAACGGCGCACCCGGCGGTGAATTTTCCGCCGTGGACGACGCTCCAGCTCTAACGCTGCTGCAGCCGATCCCCAGCGCCATCTCCTTTGCCATGCGTGTTGTCGAGAGTGGCAACATCATCGATGGTACGCGAGGCGGCGACATGTGCGTCACCGGTGATTCGTTCTCTGGTTTACACCTGGTGAATGCTGTTGGAGCTGTCGTGTTGCGGCTACTTGTGGTGAACAAGATCGTGTCGCCCTCGGTCAAGTCGTTGCCCACTGCGGTATCGATGGGTGTAATGCTACTGTCGCTGTTCTGGATCGGGGTTACGGTGTTCGTCGCCAGCTCCTGAGACTTTCTCCGGCGACGATTGTGATCGGCTAACCGCTTTCGGCAGCTTCGTTTTCCCTGGTCGAACTCAGTCAGCACATGAAACCTACACGTACATGCACAAACGTTTCAGAAAACTTCGAGATCAGATCGATGGAGTGGGTGGTGAGTAGCCAGGACGGATGATAAACCTGCTGCATTGCTGGCAGAAGCGCTGAGAAAGGCCTGCAACGTTGACGACGGAAGCCTTGGAGTGGAACTCACACACCTTATGGCGGCGGTGGTAATGCTTCGCATGGGTGAGTTCCATACTGCATCCCTCGGCCTGGCACCGAGCTATGCGGGTCCGCCGGCGGCAGACTCTTCCAGTCACCACTCCGCCCCCATCGGCGGGTGATGCTGATGAGAAATAGGTGCGCACTCCGAGGTTAAGCCCGATCCTCGCCGGCAGTGGTGGAAATTCCATTCCATTTCTCTGGTGCCAGGTCGAAGATGCGGGCGTCGGTGCCGGGAAGAACGCTGCAGCCATCAGCGGCTGCGCCTGGGGGAAGAAGTCGGTGCTTCCACCGCTGCCGATGCCATGTCCTGCAAAGTGGTCGAACACTGTCGCCTGTTGCCGCACGAGGTCATCGCCGCCGTTCTCCTCTCCGAATAGCAGCATGGCTGGTGTCACCGCCGCCGGATTCCCCCACTCGTAATCCAACATCATCTTTATCACAATTTACGCCACCTATCTTTCAACTTAGACAAATCTCAGTCCGTCTACTCCCAAAGCTCGAGTCATTTATTGCGGTGTCATTTCTCGATAACTCGTTCACTACAATCATAAATCATCAAAAAGATCGGTTAGGAAGCCAAAAAAATCCGAAAAGAACAAAGGAAGGAAGTGAAACCGGAAGAACCAGCAAGCTCGCTATCTTTCACGTTTCCTGCACTAGCAGTGTAAACTGCGCAGTCTATATAAGCGAGACTTACTGAGGTGACCACACGGTTATCCATGTTTACCGGAGAAGATAAGTTACTTTCACCATCGAATCCGTGAATGCATGAGACTATTAAGCCTTGGCGTTTTCACCAACCGCAGTCATTGCTGCGAACTTGGAAGATTGGGAGTAACAAAAGGGAATGTGATGGTCCCCCTTCATCGGATACTTGCAGGGCGACATGCATACGAGCTCTGACGCAAGGAAGCTCGTATGAAGCTTCACACCGACGCCGTATCACAGTCCGTGGCCACGCCTAGCGCTTTGTTTTCGTCCGCGGCCATGGCCATCTGCTCCATGCCCACAGTTTCGATCGCCGTGTAGCGTCGATCGCTGGCTGCGGAGTTGTGAGAAAGCCATGGGTGACGGCTTCGACGTTCCATGTTGCGGATGATGATGATGGGTTTCATCATTGTTACCAAAAACATTTCACATCTGTATATTCACTCTTTGTTTCACATATTAGAAATATAAATACGTTCAAACTTAGTCGAAGATGTAAAATACAAATATGCCACACTTAAAATCGTGACGTGCTCTGTGAATGAATCGTACATTAAATGAAGTATGATACTTATAACTAATAAAGACCGAAAGGTCTTACGACAATGACAACGTATCAATAACACGACACGCAATCTGTGAATGACATAAATAGACCCTGTGACATATGTCTCTCTCGATCACCTGTAGTCATTAGTGCACATACGTACAGAGAGACTACACAACTTTGTAGATATATAATATTAATCTCTCCTTATCGACGCTACTCTACTTTATTATTAGAGGAACGGAATGTATAAGAACAAAGGCAAAGATGAGTGAGTATATAGAGACATAAAGCAACCGAAGTCTCTTCTACACCGTGGAGTTGGGATAGGCGTCGGAGGAGGCGGAAGGGAACACCAGGTATTGGTGAACCAGCGCCGCCAGGGCTGCGCCGATGAGGGGCCCGACCCAGTAGACCGCGTGGTTCTTGAAGTTGCCGCTGACGACGGCCGGGCCGAAGGACCTCGCCGGGTTCATGGATCCCCCCGTGAGGGAGGCGGCCGCCAGGACGCACGCCCCTGCCGTCAGACCTACCGCGAGGGGCCCCGCCACCTCTCGCCTCATTTTCCTCTTCCTCTTTCCGTCTCCGCCGCCGCCCCCGGGGTCCGCAGCCACGTAGACCGTGTACACCAGAATGAACGTGATCGCGCTCTCCACCACCGCCCCGCCGAAGCCCGTCATCTCCGTCCCTATCCCCGTCGTCGGAATCGCCTGCATCAAGACGCGGTCAGTAATTTCCCAGTGAAGTCCTTCATCTTCTTTAACTTTTAGGCGACCTGTCCGGCCGAGGCGACGCGGAGGAGGAGGCAAGCGAGAATGGAGCCACCCAACTGGGAGATCCAATAAAAGATGGCAGTCGGGACGCCGATGTGCCCCGCGACGGCGAGGCCGAAGGTGACGGCGGGGTTTACGTGGCCCCCCGAGATGTCGGCGGCGATGTAGACCGCAGCGAACAGCGCGAAGCCCTGCGCGAGCGCCGTCGCGACCAGCGACGACGCGTCCGACGTGACATCCGGCGTTAACATCCCTACAAGCCGTGCACGCATCAGATTTGGTAATTATGTTCATGCATTTAAGGATCCTATGCAGCATTTGGGAAAAGGGACCAACGGGCAGAGATGGCGGAGCCGACGGCGGCGAAGACGAAGAAGAAGGTGGAGATGAACTCGGCGAGATAGGAACGGAGAGATGCGGCAGACAGCCACTCTCGGAGTTGGCTTCGGTCGGTGGAAGTCATTTTGCGCACCGAAGAGTTTGAAGTCGAAGTAGTCGACGAAATGTCTTATTACTGCGAGCGGTTTAAGAACGAGGGAGGGAAGGAGAAGTTAACGAGTTGGATGTCGCGGTGGCCTGAGGAGTTATATTACGGACGAAGGGACGTGATTTGCGAGGAAGAGATCGTTACCTGCAGTTTAAACCCCTTCGTATATTTTTCCCCCTTTTTCTTTATTGACGCTAAATTGAGGATTGGAGGTGGATAAAAACCAGAGAAAAGACACATTAAGTTTTAATTAAAGATAAAAATGCTTAGAGAAAAACTTAAAAAAGCATAGATTGGTCCCACGAGTGGTGAGATCTCCACAACTCCGAGAAGATCAACACCCTAACCAAGCCGTGCATTCTAATTAGGGCACAAGAGGAATCATTTCATATCACAACTTTCCATATTCTACATATGTCATACAAAATTGACTCCAGAAGTAAAAAAGCACAGGAGTTTACTTGACATAAACTTCCAGCCATGAGTATAGTCAAGAGGATTGTCATCAGATTTTGAGTGCGAAGTGTAACATCAGCAACAATCACACCATAAAATTAATGCAATAAGAGGTGAAAGGCCACTGAACAGATACATACATTTTGACACCAGCACTAAGGATCCCCCCACCTCCCAATGGCTTCTCCAACCCTGATCCTGTCCCCATTTCTGACACAAAATTTGAACTCTGGACCAGCTTTGATCTTTTCTGGCGATTCTGATATTGGAGCTTGGAAAACAAGTACCACTGTTGAACCCATGTTGAATGCGGCCACCTGAAGAATAGTGGGAACAAGAAAAGAATCACAAAAGGTTACAAATTAAGGGTGGTCAAGAGTGCTAAAAGTCAACCTCTTCCCCCTTCTTGATCATCAGACCAACACCTTCAGGTTCATATACTCGCTCATCTGGGGTACCTGATGGCAACAACTTTTTCAATGGCCGGTTCGTCTTCAGCTCTGGTTCGATTAAGAGCTGTAAAATAGTTTCCCACCATAGTAAGAAAATAAATAAATAGAAGTCAATGTTCAGAAGGAACAAATTTATTGAATAATTCGAGAAATTAGAAATGATGCAGTAGTTAATGTTCGAAAACAAAAGGGCATATGATTGATTAACCACAATGTCTGAATTTGCTTGATGATCTGTAGAAATATATTCACACGAGGGTAGAGTATAAAGAAGCCGTCAATGTGTAAATTATGCATCTTAAGCAATCACAAAATAGGCATCATAAGCACAAAGTCTTATGATAACTAAATAGTGGATGAAATAGTTTAAGCCTCACAAGTCAGAAATTGTTTAAATCTGATTAACAACATAATAAATTCATATGTTAGGATTTGCTAATTCAAGTAGCTGCATCGAGATACCGATCAATCTTAACAGCGGTCCACAACAAAAATTGATTGTATAATAACAAACATTCCAACCCTGACAAGATGACACTTCTTTTACTAACGAGTTAATGGACCTAGAAACGAACCCAACTACTTCTAGTTCGGCCAACAGGTGATGTAATTAAGAATTTACAATCTGGACTCTTAATTTCATTAGTTATCGCTGAAAAGAAACCTTTGACCAAGCCCCTTAGAATCAATTTTTTAAAAGTATCACAATTTAGTTTGAATGGGAATATAGCTTTGCATACAAACAGATAGGACTACATAGATTGTAGATGTACTAATGCACATCCATAACATTGTATGGGTAATCATTTGCGCATCGGTGTACAATAATCACAACATGGGTACATAACATTAACACTAGGGCATACAGATAGTGTCAAAAGCACATTTTTGGAAAATTATGGAATCTATATATTGCAAGTTTAGGCATAAAAAATCATGGCAGGAAGCCACACGAATGCTATGCAAGGTTCAAATCTCAATAAGTCAAAATGGGGCTGGTATCACGTCTTGACTAATAATGGATTATTTGGAAGCATATGAAATATGTATGCTTAAATTTCTACTTACCATTATCATAAGGATGACAACTCATGTAAGAACAGTAATGTGAAAACTAGAAAGGCACCTTAAAGCTCAACGGGGAAAGAAATGGGCTTTCAGGACATAGTTGGATGCCTTAAAAGTCCTAAAGTTGCAACAGAAAAGCACAGATGGAGTTGGATAGGTGGACAACTAAGATACTCACCTGGGATGATTATTAGGGTTGAGGGGATGATTTTGCGGATCCTGAGCTTGCAGCAAACAATCATACATTATTGGCACAAAAAAGTTCAAAGATTCAGTCTGATAAAGGTGTTGATCCTTGAGAGGATTGGTTTGATACTGGTATACGAGAGCCTTAGTATCAGATAGGCCAGATTAGGGTTTTCTCATGGGTTTTGGGCCTGGATGAATAATGAATTGAAATATGTTATAAACAAATATTAGAAATCAGATATGAAGAGAACATGTTTAAAAATATTGAAAAGTCCTAAACGTGACACATTTAATAAAAATTCAATGTCATACCTCAAAATATGCCTACTACCACCATAATGATCGTGTTGCACATGGGATGTGATCTGAGGTCCTTGATGTGACTCAAAGTGCAAATCAAAATTGTAACTTTGAATGACCAATGAATGTTGATACTTGATACTGATAACCAGTGTACCATTACTAAAGTAATGTGATAGCAGTTGTAACTATGAGATTTATGCCGCTAGGATGATTCTATATAAAAGGATGGGACACTCGGCCCTTGAGATCCAACCCTTCCTTGATAAAAATGATTAAAGATGGGATACTTCGATGACCAGAGATTTTATATGGCAGGTAAAAGAGAGAAACTGTTTGTCTGGTGCAAGAAACTACCTCAATCCTGCTTATTCATACCAATAAGACCTTATCACTGAAGACTAGTCAACTATGTTAAGCATCTCATAAGAAGATAATCAACCATGCTTAATAAACACAAATATAGGTACCGGTGATTGTTACAATAAAAGAATAATCAATCACATACTTTGACAGATCCAACATTTGTAGCACCTATGGCAGCAACAGCTAGAAAGCCTTCCTTCCATTGACCTTCAAGAACAACCTAAAGAGAAAATCAAGCTTAAATGTTAGTTGTTTTGACAAAATCAGAGAACGGTTATTCTACTTGTTTAAAAAGAAAATATGAAATTCATGTAAGACAAAGGGCAATGCAGGCAATTGAGGAATCATATTCGTAATTTACTTTGAGAACATATCCAAGACTAAAGTTGTAGATCTGCACTAACAGAAACAGGCTGCTTGAATATGGAAAACAGCCACATCAAAATATTAATGACAAGAATGAGAATTCTTCCTCAACTGGTAGTTTCAGTCAAAGTATGTACTATCATCAGCAGAAAGCTAAGGCTTTGCAACATAACCAAATATCAAGATAATTGATGCAGCATGTGACACACAAAAACATGAATCTGAGATCATAAATGCATCTTTCTGTCACCAAGTATGCCCACAAGACTATGCTTAAGTCATCTAGCTTTCTCGTAAAAGAAACAAACAACATAAACTGATTCATGTACAAGTGCATAGAGTCTGATTCACAGAGTTAAGTGACAAAACAGTTAAAGCAAGACTTCTTAAGGAAGGCCAACAATCTAATAATAAAAGTGGCCAGTAGTGATCACTATGGTGATGTCCACCATTTCTGTTTGTAACTCACTTTCAGAACTAAAGTAGCTTAGTGCCTTTTGCATACCCAAAAGATTTTAAGTTTGGTACAGGCCAGAATACTTCTTGGTGTATTGATACTGTAACAATCTGATAAGCTGCAAAAATCAAAATTAGATGGGTATTTAAAACTCTGAAACTCGTGAATAACAAATAAGAGAGAGACATTGAACCTGGATATATTGAGACACTACAAAATTATGAAACTAGAGTTCTACAACTTAAGGTTTATAAGTATTGAGGAGGTTCCAACAATGAAATTTGAGTTTTACATCTTAAGGTTTCTTTGTATTGAGTCACTTCCAACCAAGATATGCAATACCGTATCGTACCGGTGTTTCAAGGTTGGCTCGGTACGGTATTGTATCGTGTACCGAGCGGTACACCTAATTTAGGTGTAAAACCCTTCGAAAATACCTGAAAATAAAAAAAAAGTTAGGATAGGGTTTTTAAGTTAGAAATAAATATAGTAATAGCATAAGTTTAGCAAAATTAATGTAAATCAATACAAAATCAATGTAATTTAGGGAGAAGAAGGGTTTAAATACTATAAGAAAGGGCTCCAACGGTCAATTTGACCGTTGGAGCACTGTAGCACTGTTACAGTGCGATAACGATCGATTTCGACCGTTACCGAGTTGTGCCGGGCGGTAACGATCGAAATTAAATTGACCGTTGGAGCACTGTAGCACTGTTACAGTGCGATAACGATCGATTTCGACCGTTACCGAGTTGTGCCGGGCGGTAACGATCGAAATTTTGACCGTTACCGCCCGATATTACCCTATAACGTCCGATACGAGGTGCTTTTAAACGTTCCGTCCGATACGGGCGGTCCGCGTACCAATATGCCATCGGACCGGTAAGTACCACCCGTACCGAGCGGTACCATTCGAAATTGCATACCTTGCTTCCAACAATAAGCATGACATGCATCTTCCATTCAACTTTAAAAGGAAGTTTCCATTTCATTTTGGTAAAGATGGACTATCTAACACATAATATTGCTGTGTTTTGAATGAGGAATATGTCCTCCATGATTTTCTAATTGAATTCATATCACAGCCAGCAGTTTGCAAAAGTATATATGAAGCCTGTAGTTTGGCATATCTTTAAAGCTAGCTTCTAGTAGACAAGGTTGAAAATTTTCTCATTTTGGGAAAGGCCTCCGTTAGTTAAACTTTGCTGTTTGGAGTCTTTGAGTTGATTTATAAACTTAGAGGTTGTTGGAACCATTTCATAGACAGATATGAATTAGTTTAAATTCATTTCATAGATATGCAAGGCACACATATGAACTAATGCCAAAATAATTTTTTTAAAATTGTAGTCTTCATGTGATATTATATCCTATTTATTTATATTGTAACTTAGTGATATTGTGTACTTGTATTGTATATCTATATCCATGATTCATAAGCATCTCATATATGGTTTTCATATTTAAGCCTTCCTTAAATCACCAAATGCTAGAAAGTAATCATAAAACCATTTTGCTTAGTTGTCCAAGCCATCATTATCTCCCTGATTGGCTATCATAGAGTTAATTCGAAATATTGTAGCAAAACAAAACAATTTAATTAGTTCAGGAATAAGATGAACATGATAAAATAACATAAAATATCAAAAAGTGAAATAAAAAACAAATAACGCCATTTCCTCACTGAAAGTTAGATACCTCCTCTATATAAACTGCTGTATATTAGGATATACTCTGAACAGAATGTATTATATGTTTAGATGTTTAGGTTCCTTAACTTATACAATGAAAAAGAAATCAGAATTACCCTTTCATTCTCAATATATAAGTTTCTGATTGTGCGTGCAGCACGTTCGTTTGTAGGGTAGAGACGACCTGCAAAAACTTTCAACTTACAAACAAGTAGAATTCATAATAAACTAGGTGCACTGAAAGCTCTGTAAATTAGCAAAATTGTCTAATTATTTCATAATTTCAGAAAATAATTGACCAGCCATAAGTACTAAACAGTTGTAAATCAAAGAATAGCAGGTCTTGGATTGAAAAGAACTCAAAGAAGAGTAATTTTTGAGCAACCAATAGCTAATACAAACAATCTTTTCCTGTTGCCATTGGTGACTCCATAAAGACTAGTGAAGTTCCTAATGTTTTTGTAACCAACACAGGCTTATATAACCTTCTGTCAAACAAATAACATTCACATATTGCCAAGGTAAGTATATCTGTGTAACCAATGGCAGAAATATTTGATACAAGAATACAGCCAATCGAATCCAATAGTTATCCGAGAGACATCCGAGAGTAGAATCAGTAATGGGTAAGGCTTGAGATGAGATTATAGCTTGACCTATTACACTATGAATTCCAGGTCCAACCGAGTGGACACAAGAAGATAGGCTCAACCAAGGCCCCCCAGTAATAGAAACCTTTATTAGGACCTGGTGGACCCAAGCACAACTCCACCTCCATCATATTATGATGCAAAAGTCAAGCAAGGACCCTACATCAGCCAAAAAATTCAACAAAATCGAGGGCCTAGTAAAGATTAAGGTGACTATTAGACTCATCAGTATGTCATCTTGATCTAACAACATGTTGAGTGACCAGAACGTCATCAAGGCCTACTCAATACCAGCCATACTATGAAGGATGGTGGTTTTAGAAATTTTATCATTTAAACATGATAAAGCAGATTAGAAGTACACCCAAGATGAACCTTATTTGATAAGGTGAAACATAATTGGTTAATTAAAAAAATGAGGCAATTGAGTCCTTTGGGTCAACATGGATTAGGATAAGACTACAACATACAGCCCTTACTCAGTGTATTTTATCAATTAGGGTAACTTCAAGAATTCATTAATGTATCCTGTCACTAGAAATTAACTAACTCTAAGTTAATTTGTGGTCATGGCGGTGAGCTGACCCTAGGGAAGGCATTGATAACTCAGTCCTTTAACTACACAAAGAACACAACGTAAAATAAAATTAGTGGTCTTGAAGTATTTAACATGGGACTTGGTACGTAGAAAATCAGACTTTACCACGACGATTTTTTATGGAAAAATATATCATATTGAGGTGCTAGGCCACTTGCTGTATATTTCTTAACCCTATTCTGATTCCTAAATTTTCCATTTGTTCATAATACCAACCTCAACTTATTTTCTGTCTCTTTCATGCTGTCATCACCAAGAACTGCCACATTGTACCAGCCACCTGTATCAGTCCCTAGCCAGACCCCTTTGTGCCCCCTCACTTCTAATTTCCTCCATTGCAGGATCCTATGATTCTCTGATCCAATCCTGTGATCCAAGTGTACGAGTGTTGTGACAATCCTAGGTACAAAGCAAGTTTGGGAATGCAATCAGTCATATCAACTGCATCAGTACGGTTTAGGAGTTTTGAGTTACAAGCAAACATGAACCTGATATTTTTTCCAATGAACAGACACAAAGTTTCTTTCATTTATATTTTGACTCTCATCCTTGTACGAACTAATTTCTACAGGTCATTCAGATTTCAGACTTACAAAGTCATTGTTATCTCCTCCTTGCTTAACAAAGGAGAGCACAAAACAGATCCACATCTACAAACATGAAAAGAATACTAAAACAATCACAAAAGAAATACAAGGTACCTGCAAAATGACGGCGTAAAAGAACCTGCCAATCTACAGGCGAGTGGATTCGATGATAGTCTCCGGGCTTTAAATATATCACACAGTAAAAGATGCCTTTCTTTGGGCTGCCAAGATGAAACAACTTCAATATGATAAATATAAATAATAAGCAAGCCTTACTAAGAGTATGCATGAATGATTTGAGTCTCAAAATAGCCTCTCTGAATATAGATGCAAGGTTGCCTACATCGACCCTCCCCAGCTAAGCATTATAACTGGCTATCAATAGCCATAGCCCAACCCCTCATCAATGTTCTTGAAAGTTAATTGGAATTATATAAAGATGGAAAAACAAGGCATCTGTTAACTCTATGATATTGTCACAATGTTCACAAAGGAACTTTCGAAGGAAATGCTGAGATCTATGGTAATGAAACATAATCATATCAGTTCCACCAAAAAAAAAGTAATGGTTAAAAAGCCAACATTAAAAGGAAACAAGGATAAATACTTCTAAGTCAAATCTTATGTGTTACTTTTATATATAATGTGATTCAAAAGGAGATTAGCACCATACTACGTAGCATGTACAAGTGAGGTCCTTACACTGTGAGACTCCATTTTGGAGTCGAAGGAAGTATTTTTTTTGACTTAACCATATTCCGATAGTCATCTGATTAAAGCTTAACTAGATCAAAGTCGATACTGTTAATAAAGTCATCTTGGTTGGTAAAAAGAGGAGATGGCTCGTTCCTAGTTAATTGAAGTTCTCTATGCTCTTTGGTTGGTAGAAAGATGAGATGGCATGCCTCTAGTTAATCTAAGTTCTCTATGCTCTTTGGCCAACATAATCTGACACTAAAGTTCTTCTGTAAATCCGCTTAGAAGTAAAAAATGGAGATAACCTGACTAAATTCCCAAAGGATAAAGTCAATACAGTGTAACCAATTTGAGACTCATAATTAATTAACAGAGTTGCTCTATTAGATCTGTCAATGGAAAACTCCAATATTAACTTATTATGTATTATTTATCTACTGCTTCCACTTAGTAATGTAAGAAAAACACAGAGACAATGCTATACTGGAAACAAGTAAAGAAATGGCGGCAAAAAGAATGTGTATACTTTCTTAAGGCACCTAAAGAAATAGACATGAGAAGATAGAACCTAGTATGGTCAATATAGAGTTCCTCGCTGGTAACCTGCAAAGGAATGAATTGTTGTTGTTGTAATGTGCACAATGCTAATGATCATATTAACTTCTCACTGCTGATAACATCTAGCATGGCTCTTTATGATGAACCTGTTAGGGATAATTGGTGCTGAGCTGCTAATGATTGCCCATTCTCCACTTGGTGCATATGATTGTTTGCTTGGCTCACATCCTCATAATTGCCAGGATGGTTGAGACATTTTATGTTCATGTCCCCAGCATTTATTTTATCTGGAAATTAATTCTTGGATAAAATGCCGCTTGTCATTTCTTATTGGTATGGGTTGGTTTCCCAAACTCTCATCCTCTTTGTCCACTGAACATGGAAAGCATTAATAATTTATTCTTAAAATGTTGCTTCAGTTGCTAAGTATAGAATATGATCTGGACTCATTTTAATCTTACATCTGGTTCTGATGATATTTGTTTTTGGGTTAATGGTTAGTAGTTATTTACTCATTTGTTAATTTTGGTGATGATTTATAATGAGTTGGCACCTCCATGGAACCTCTGGATTAAAAGGCCCATCAGGACTCATTGTGCTCCCTTGCCTTATGGGTGGGTAAAAATTAGTGTTCGTGTATCTTCAACCCAATGTGTGAATGGAAGTCAATGATTTTATAAAAGCATGAATTATTCTGAAAGAACTAAAGGCAACTCACAGAAGAAGGCACACCAAGATCCTAGTTAAAATAAAATCCTTACCTGAGTCCTGCTTCATGAGACCACTAGGACAACACCAAATGCTGATGAGGATCAGCAATCTAATTTTCATATTTTGTCACTTCTGTTAACTTTTTGCAAAGCTGAAATTGAAATTTATATCATTTAGTCAACAATCCATTGAATTTTCTAGCCAATTTCGGTAGCTATTCTGGGAGCGGTTTGAATTTTTAAGTAAACCTTTCAGTTTCCTGATGGATTATGGGATCTTTGTGAAGCAGGGTATGCATGGTTGTCATTATGAAAGAGTAAAATCGCTTGATGTTCCAAACAAAGAAAAGCTTGCTAGATTTAAAGACATGCTATCTACATCTAAAGAAAGTACCATGTTGCAGGATTCCGCACTTTTGGTGAAGCAAATGATATATGCCACCATGATTTCCTGCTTGAATCTTCAGTTAAACTCTGCTCAGGATATTGGTTGTTTCTATCCTCATTGGCTGCCTCATGAAGGGATGAATTTGCTCCAAGAAGTGATGATGCAGAATATGAGAAACCTTTGACTTGTTCAATCATAGCATTGGATCCTTTCAGTTCTCCAAGACGCAAAATCTTACCATCTACAGGACTGACCTATAAGTACAATAAAATAAAATCATATTAAAAAGATATCAAGCAAGACAGAAACATTATTAATAACAAAATTATAATGCCTAGAAACAATAGCTAGTTACCAGTTACCAGAGATTTTTGATCTAAATCAACAGGTCTTGACCCTTCTTTGAGTGAGCGAGCAAAAAATTCCTGAAGAGAACCATAGTTTTCCAGAGGCAGAGCCACTTCATCCAAATCTAAAATATAATAACAGTTTTCCTTATTTTTTATTTAAAAAATCAATTGGCATTGAACATGCAACCAAATACATCAATATAAAAGTTAATATCAGTTTTAAGCAGTGCAACTTTTAGTGAATTCTCTAAATAGAAAATGGTATTGCTTACTTTGATTGCCCTTTTTTGTTAAATCTTGCAACTCACTCATATCCTAAGTCCCAAACTTATTGATATGATGAAGAACCCTTAATTCAAAAGTTGATGTGCATCAATATCCCATTCTGTTAAATATATATTAAGTTAAGAGTAATGGTAAGTAACATAATTGCTGCACAAGTTTAAAGGCATACAATATACTCAACCAAGTGTAATTTGAATCTACATCAAATAAGTGAAAATTAAATGCTTCTTCTGTTCTTTCTTAATGTCTCTTGCATGACAAATCAAATCCTAACCAGTCCCTAGATACTGTTTATGAGTAAGGAATTGTTCCAACTAACAATTAGCAAATTCTGTTTATCAGTAAGAAAAATGATGCCCGAGTTTATCACACTATCCTCGAGAAAAACACCACAGTCAACACGACCAAAGAAGAGAAAATAAGTTATACCTGAATGGAATGCCCGAGACCAAGCCTTGTAGATAAAAGGCCGAAGCGGTACTGGAATGTCCTAAAAGATTTTTAAGGTAATTACATAAAAACTAAAAAGGATAACCAAAATAATCTTTTGCACAGAGAAGGACCAAAGAAAAGTACATACAAAAAGAAAAAAAAATGAGTTTACATGAGCTGATATTAAAAAAGAATATGAAGGAAAGATTAGTTTATATTAAAAGTAACCATGAAATCATAGCAATTGGTAGCATGAACTAGAACAGATTTTAGTCAACATTTCCCCTTCTCCCAATAGGAATCAGCCCATAGAAATGAAAAGTAAAAACACTAAACTGTCATTTACAGCAACTGACTATGAGTTACTAACAGGAAGCTCAAGCATAAGAAAGTTACAAATAGATGATCCACTCAATAGACAAAGCCAAAACACCAATATTATATGCCAATCATCTTCCAACAGTCATATACTAATTAGTTAAACTTTATAAAGAAAAGAAAAAGAGAACAACTATTATAGACAAAGGTGAATATTTGATTTTTTTTTTTAAGAGAAAATTCAATCATGGTAGAGGCAAACAAAAATGTGAATTGCAGAACCATACCAAGTTACTATTAGTTAAGATATTGAACAACAGATTAACAAATGATATACAACAGAGCAAGCATAGAGATAAACTCAATTTTGTTTTACTTTCAAATATGTAAATCTGAGCAAGCATAGAGATTGTGGATAAGCAAAGATCAGAAAAGCACACAAAATATCTTTTCTATAAAAATGAAAGCTACACTGTCTGCCTTCCCTTAAAAGTCTGTTTACGCTTCAACTATCACTGTATGAAACATAATGGAAGAAGTAATAATCCAATTATATGAAGAAAGATGCAGTTAAATTCACAACAGTAACGATGGTTTAGCTGAAACAAAAGGCCCATAACATGATAACTAAACTAATTAAAAAATGGATTAAATGCATAACAAAACCTGCAGTATCAGAAACATATCTAGGAACTAGGAAGGCTATAAAAGCAGTTCGATACGAACCACACTCATCAAGTATCCCAACAGGCGTGAGACTGAACGCAAGGGCACGAACCTCAAGAATGCAGCCTGTATAGACACCATAAAAAGCAACTCAAAGCTCAAGTAGCAGAAATGTTAACCAGAATTCAAGGAAATGGCACAGTGCTTATGTCAGCAATACCTTTGCATCAGGTGAGAATTCTTGTTCCATACCTTTCACTTTCAAGTCCTCGACCTATTCTTTACCATTTCGAGAGAGTTAAATATACATAGTTACCAAACAAAGCACAAGTTTAGGTGGAAACACATGTGATAAATATGATCCACATGGTTATGAAGATATGAACAGGTCAAGTATTTTACAGAAGAAAATTCCTAAACGGTGATATAACAAAGCTACAGTAAAATCATCAAAAAGTGGGTGGGTGGGTGTGGAGCTAGGGCTGATGATGGTTAGCTAGTGATAACCATGCTACAAGGTAATGTAATGGCATCCACATTGGGATGCCGACTGGTTCTGATTCAGCTTACCACTAAAACTGCAAGTGGTGCTTGATTAAGGGAAAGCATCAACGATAATTTTTTATTTTCTAAATCTTGTTGTTGAACAAACTAAAATGCCCTCAACGACAGTGGAAGGGATTTAATATTGAGCTCATTCAAGTCATTTGTGATTAACATTTAACGCCAAATTTGAAACTGTTCAATTTGACTTGGCCAGTTCTCACAGATAATCAAAATCCTAGCTGGTGGTCACAGATCATCAAAGACCTGGCTGGATCAGCCAGTTTAATCTAGAATTCGTACACATCCAATCTATGGAACTGGACTGGAAAGACATCTAGTCCTCGGTTTTCCAATCCAATCAGTTGGCCTGGTCTAATTTAAAAACTACGTTATTGATGCTACTTACTGTGGACAACAACCGTTGATACGATAACATTAAATTAGTACTTTGTTAGTTAATTAATAACTAATTTCTGTCCAAGTGCAGCCTTAGTTGAAGAATTAACAAATTTGGACATGACATGGAAATGATGTAACAAATTTTGGAGGAAAATCAACAAACTTTAGTTCAGTAAATCATCTTCAATGAGAATGCAAAACGTAAAATCATAAGTTACTGCATTTCCAACCATATAATAAGCCTATAGACAATGCTCAATTGATGCACGATGAGCATGTGAATACAAAGAACAAAAGCAACACATGCCTTCTTGTCATCATACATGCGCCTAGCATGGAGAAAACCAAGCATAAGAATGGTTGCCATTGTTGCACCAGGTAATAGAAGAAAGTTGCCTACAAGAGTTGACAATCGAAAATTGGAATATGAGACATGCATGAAAAATAAAATGACTTTGTAACAAAGAAGAAATATTTTACATAAAACAAGATTGACTCCACATTGAAGTCTAAGAAAATATCTAGATATTAACTTGTCAATGGATTAATATGCTCAAATTCAGTTCCTAGTTCAACATATTAAACTTTTGGAAATTTAAATAAAGAGACTCTACACTGAAGATAAATAAAGATGTAAGTGCTGGGCACCAATAAACTTTTGAAAACTGCAATGCTAGAAAGTGTCTTTCATGATGTTTTTATTGGACAATGCGCACTGACAATTTTAATTCCCAATCAACTTAACAAAAATTCACAATGTTTAGCTCCAAAAGTAGTAAAATAAAATTATAATTGGCCTTCTGATACCTAGGATGAGTTCCTTTAAGAACACTATCACCTACGCAACTACTTAAGTTGCCTTTGGGGTTAGATAGTCTAAAGGATTATAGAATGTGTAACTGAAGAGAGAGGAAATAAAACAAGATATTGACTCCATCATCAAATAATTTATAATTGTCACATATTTACTGCTCTGCTTGAGTTTCCAGAAGACGGGACACTATCATAATAGCTTAACAGCTCGATTCTCACTCCACAGCGACAGTTCCTAAGACTACAACGATGCTAATGCTTTTCCCTCTTTGGAGAGGACGGTTCTTGATGATCAATAGAAAGAAGATTCTTCGCTATGTGATGAAAAAGTCCAAGAAACGACTAAGATTCGTCACAACAGAAACAAATTCTTGCTATTTACACTTGCAACAAAATATCCGCTTCTCCTTATCATTGTTAGGCAGTGGATCAGATTGCTGAACGGTATTGCGTCCGTACTTGATGTCATAGAAAGAGGGAAGACACCCCAGTGGACAAAACGAAGAAGCCAATAACATATCGTAGATTGCGAGGGATAACCTTCACGTCCGCCGCCGCCGGCAGTGGAGCTTCCGGCGCTGAAGGAAGACGAACGAACCGCGATGAAGTTTCTGAGGATAGTGGTTGGGTGGAACCGGCGACGGAGGGGAAGGCCGTGAAGGAGGAAGCGGTGGTGATGGACCGGAAGAGGCCATCTCGGAGGAACCCTAAAGTTCATCTCGTGTTCCTCTCGGGTCGATGCTCGCTTGGAGGGGCGTCTGTAGTCTCGGCTGTGTTGTTAAGACACGGGCGCGTGTAAGGTCCGACCAAAGCAAAGAGTAGCGCCCATCCGTGGCATCATCGTAGTTTCACGTCAATCAAATTAAATACAAACTCAAAATTAAAATCTACAGATTTTTTTTATTATTTATCGGTAAAGTTTGAAAATATTTTTTGATAATATAATAATAACAATAATAAAACAGTAAATCTTAACCAATTAGAATCAATTATATGAATCTTTTATTATCATTGAGATATGTAAAAAAATTATATATTTAATTAAGTTCAGAATATTTAAATTTTTATTTATAGTTTCTAGTCAAATTATTTTTATCAAATGATGAGTGATGAAAATAGAATTTGGCATATATTTAGTTAAGTTTAAATTTTTATTTATAGTTTTTTTATTAAATTTATTTTTTTCTCAAATAATAAATGAAGAAAATAGAATTTGATCCAAAAATTTGCAATGCTCTAACAAAATTATCATCAGCTAAAATATAGATTAGGATAATCGATAAAGCCTTATTAAAAAAAATGTAACCTATTATTATGCCATTAATGTAGTATTACTCCATGTTTTAAAATTCTTTACGTGTATTCTTTTATTAACATCCATGCAAAAATCTTGAATTGACATAATTAATAATTCAATTTTAAAAAAATAAAGTTTTAAAAATACCTAAAGCAAAATTGATATTATTATCGTTATAATCGAAAACATCGAGTCTAAATAATCATTAATCTTGAAAGAGGTTTAGAGCAAATAGGGATCGAATGTTCCAACAGAAGGATTGGAGAAGGTAGGCATTACATGACATACTTGAAAGAAGGTTGGGGATCACAAAGAAGTCACCTAATCTCATGACTCCAAATACTTCTTCCCAATCATTAAAATCCCTACGTTGACATGAACTTGTCATACGTGGAAATAAGGTTTTCTATCACCTTTTTTCACGTACAATTTATTTTTTTTGCTGTTGTTCTTTAAATTTTGTTTGTCGACATTTTGACTAAAGCCAAATCCTTTGTGTAAATTGTCAAACTCTTTTTTGCCAGAATAGCTCAGGACATGATCTTGGTTTGGTTACACAATAATTAATCAACCAAAAAAAGCTTAATCTTCACTCACCCTTAATTTTCTATCAAAAAAAAGTATGTAAATCTTTTAGAATAAGGTGAGAAGTTTGAATAGAAAAAAATTTATAACATCCTGATTAATCTCATATCGAAAATAACAAGATTAAGATTGATTTATAAAAGTCTAATAAATATATTATTATTAATCATAACTTGAATATTTTGATCAATGATTCGAGTCAAATGAAATTAATGAGCCTACCGAGGACTCCCACTTGAGTGGGAGAAATTATAACATACTAACATAATAGAGTCATTAATTTGGAGTCATTATTAGGTTAAACTTTACCTATATCATATTATGATTTTATTTTAGACTATATTAGACCTTGACGAGTATGTCAATCCAATAAGTGAGAGAGATTGTAATGTCGTAATTTAATATCATATTATAATATTTTGATTTATCTCATAAGATAAATAAAGCTAAAATAATAATGATCCGAGGTTTGGTGTTGAGGGATTTAGCTGAGATGAAAGCAGCTCTTCACATTGATATCAAATAATAAAATCGAGAAAAACAATGATAATGTAAAAAAAAAGAGCATGTCATATCACATTGTCATCTCCTTCGGAGGCCAAGAAGGAAAAGGAAGGCATTGCAGTGCCTACTTTGGATTGTTCGAATGAGTCCAAAGATTAAACATCCAGAAAAGATTGGAAAAATTAAAAAGTTCCTCATCATCAGAAAATTAAGTAATTGATACAGTGAATTATAATTAAAAATCCTCCTGATAGATGCATTTCCGGATCTTTACAAGGATTCAAAGCATCTTGGCTTTACAGACAGACAAGAAAAACATGCTTCTTATTGTTGATTTTGATTTTGTTTAATTCAAGAAATCACAGATTTGTTTTGATTGATGAAGTAAAACTCCAAAGTGGTAGCATAGTTTCACCTTCTTATGAAACTATTTGAAGTCTTTGGACATGAGATTAAGAAAACATCAAAAGACTTGCTCGATAAGAATGTGTTGACTCCTATTCTTGGCCAACAAATAGCTCAATATTTTGAATTATAATAGCACTTTAGAGCTAAAATGGGATCACAATCTTTATTTGAGTTGTCATATGCTTGATACACAACTTTATAGATGACCCATTGAAGAGCTATGATAACTGACATGTTGACTGGGGTTTAAGTAGCAGATCCTTACCATTATCTGTGCTTATACTTGAAACCTATCTTTTCAGCAATCAATAAGTCTCAAAACTTGTGAGATTGACATCTTGAATTACAAAATTTAGAGGGTAGAATCTTGTAGGCTTTTGCTGAAAGGAAGTGTATGCCTTGAAACAATGGGATCCAAGGAGGGGCAGTATGTCACTTAATCTCACCCATGAAGAAGATCTTAAGTAGCATGTATTAAGAAGGTCTTGAGGAGTAGAGAACCTCTAAAGTTGATGTAGGTTATAGTTCAGATCAAACTACCACATAATATACTTGTACTCTTTCTTTTACTTGTTAGCTTCTCTACCATTGTTTGCATTATTTTTGTGATTCAAATGGCTAATTGAATAGCCTTCAATTTTGACTCAATTAATGAGTTGTTGTTAGTAACCTAATTTACTCTCCTCCCTTTAAGATTACAAAGAATGAAAATTTATTGAACATTCATTATTTTGATTGAGTATATAGTTTCTCAATTTTTCTAGCTTTTACTTCAATAAAGCAACTTAACTTGCCTCCCTCTTCTGGATTGATAAACCTCAAAAGCTTGTGGTTGAAGTTGTCTTCCTTGGCCCCACTGTGCATATTTTCTTCCTTTAACTTTTTCTCTTTCCATGTCTCTATCTCTTATTTATTTCGCTTTCTTCTTTCTCTTTTATTTCTGTTCTTTCTCACAGTTCTTTTTGTTGTTTGCACCTTATCTTCTATTTAGGTAAAAAAAACCATGTTCCCATCATTAAAGAGAGGATCAACTTTGAAGTGAACAGTTGTATGAAATTTACATTTTTTTTTCCTGGTATTTTCATGTCACAGCAGCATATTGCCATCTTTTGAAGGTGATGTGTTCATCATTTTCTCCTTGAATGGAAGAAAAATAAATACAATAAAAATCCTTCGATCGATACCACCGAAAAAAAAAGAAAAAAAAAACTCCGCTATCTCTACTTATTTCCTTATGATATAATAATGAAAAATGAGACCATCATATGCTTTGGAATTTCTTTGGGAAATGAAACTTTTGGAATTCAACCTCATAAGGTGTAGGTCATAGAATTCTTATTCCAACTGGTAAGAAGAAAAAAGGAAACATAAGGCTCTACCTTTCTTCTTTTTGAGTCCAAGGATAAACTATAGAAGAATACAAGGAGGAGGGATGCATCTAAAGCAAAAGCATAGAAGTATCTCATGATAGAGGTAAAAGAGGCACTTGATGAGCTTCTTCTTTCCAACATAAAGAAAAGCTAAGGCAGGCTATAGATTACCCTCCCTCCTCTTTTGCTAAAATACATTAAAAGAAGTAGAAAAAAATAAAGATTGAGGAACTTTATGCTTTGCTTATATTGACCCTTGCACAACTTTCTTGAGGATCATAATTAGGTCTAAGTCAAGCAAAAACAAGGCATCTTTCTCTCATTAGCTACTCTTACTTATGTTCATTAAAGATGCACTGTTCTTTTCCTTAGGCACCATAGAAATTTTACCCTTGTCACAATTTATTAGAACCAATAGCATTACTTGACGTCTTAAGTTGAATAAACTAATTCCTAAAAATATATCGAAAGTTAAAGCTAAACAATGAATTGACTCGGACGATTAGGGTTCGAGTAATAAAAATACATCCTTTAATCGTAAGGGTAAAATTATACACCCTTGTATTAGTATAAATCTTATATTCTGAGTTCCTCGGAAAGGATATAAATCATCACCAAAAGAACTTAAAGGCATATATAACATTAGAAGTACTCTATCTCACTGTAGACTGCAATTGTTTCTATATCTCGACCATACATTTGAGTCACAAAAGGAAAGGAAATTGACCTCAAACCTCTGTTGATCGTTGCTTGATAATACAAAACGCATGCACAAAAGAACTACGAATCACAGCACCAAATCATACTTGCCTCTTTTGTAATAACCATGTCTATTAACCCAATACGCTGACCCTTCACCGAGATCGGGCATCACAAAGCAGTAGCGAGCAGCAACCCAATCGGAAGAACCATGGCATCAGTGCAAGGCTGCTCGTGTCTTCGATCAGCTTCCGGAATCGTACAACCATCCACCATCACAAGGGACATTGCACTTCCGAGTGGCGCATAACGAGTCACAGTTCAACGCAAAGACAAGGACGATTCACAACTGCACTTCACCCACCATGCATCATCATAATGAGTCATCGTTCAATGCAAGACAAGGACCATTCGCAACTGCATTTCACCCACCACGCACCCTTTTCTCTCTCTCTCTCTCTCTTTCCTCTTTTTTTCCCATTTGCTAAGGCAGACAAGGAAAAAGTTGGCATGATTGCTTCCATTTCTTATTGGATTCACCCAACTGCAGTGAAGCTCTCGATTCTGTACAGGTTAATGATTAGTTGATGATGTAAAGCTTCCTGGTCCCTTTCACCTTCCATCGATTGATGTTTACCGTATTGTCTCTCGTCCTCATCTATATGTATCTTAGTCTTTTTTCCCTTTAATAATCAATATGTATCGATTGTTTTCTTGTTTTATCCTAACGTAAATATTCTATATATTTCAATTATATTCATTAGATAGCATGATAAAATATATGATCGAGATTGATTTTTTTTTAGATTAAACAAGATATGTAATATAAATTAAGAAAACAATACAGAAAATATAATGCTGAGTAATAATTATATGTGTAACCCAACGATGGATTATACTTGGGGTTGCAAAATGGAAATGTGTGCAAGCACGTACTTGAATGCTACATGTATGTACAATCGTCGATAACTCGAGGTTGCCTTTGTTGAACCGAGTGCATTGCTACGAGATGAACAGCATTTACTCTGCCAGCTTGTACGAAAATGATATCGGCTTCCAAGCACTTGTCACTCACTATTAAGGAGTAATTGCTATTAATTTGTTGACCGAAAATTATATTAAAATATAGGTTTTACATTTTTATTTTTGGATATGCATACACACAAAAAATATTTTAAAGTCTTCATGTATTTTACTCCCAATAGAATCTCTCCAATAAACTAAGTTCAACCATTATGATGGATGGTTGGTACTAAATATATAATATTTAAATACATAATATATATATATATATATGTGTGTGTGTGTAATAAACTTAAATGAAGGAATAGTTTTGTCAATTAAGAATGGGGAGAGAGACCAATGAAGGAATGACATGGTGTGGATGATTGGGAGAGAGACGTGTGTGTGAGGTAAGTGTCATTGATGTCACATGCCACTGACCCACCTTTAGGTTTCGTTTGTTTTCTTAGGAGGCCTTCAGTCTTTCTTAATCATCAGCCACGCTAAACCTATGCTTCTTAATGACCAACCTCACGACATCATAATCACCATGCAATGTAGCCTTGTGGTTTCCTGTGCCCAAAGGAAGGCCACATCGAGGGAAGGTGATGCATGCGAATATTTGGGTGCGGATTCTCTTGCGATCCAAAGCTTGGATTGCCACTTAGATTAATGGATCGTGCCGAAATCATATCCCCAAGAAGGAAAAAGAGATGTGTCCGCTTGCTGCTGTTATTATGTGATTGGACTAAAGCACATATGTGTATTATATATATGTATCAGAGCAAATGCTTTCCGGTTTCAGCAAAGCAATAAAAGACTGCGACTTGAACTCCGTTTCGTGTTCTCATACATCAGAATTCGAAGTCTATATCACACCATTACATTGTAGATGGACATAATTAGCTACATAGATAGATAGATAGATAGATCGATAGATATATATATATATATATATACATCTTAGTGAAGTATACCGAAGAGTTTGATATGCCTGTCGCTAATTGATATGCCCCAAGTAGGTAGAGAAAAACCATGAGAGGAGGCTATGAGCTTTAGTAGTATTCCCATAAGAATGGCTCCTCCACCCTGAACTCGATGCCGGCCTCCGCCGAGGAAGCGTTCCACGATGAGGAGTGGCCGAAGCCTTCTCTTAGGTCAAGCAAGAGATCAGGTAGGTCGAAGAGAGCACCGTCGTCATCGCTGCGCGGCGACGTGGGAGCGGGAGAGTGGGGTATCGGTGATGGCTCGTTCTGGCTCGGGGCTGATTCCGGGCTCCCGCAGAGCCCCGGGCTGTGACCACCCAACGTGGCCGCGGCAGCCAGCGCCGCGGCCGCCTGGACGTCCTTGGGTGCTGCTGTGGCCGGCCGCGGTAGCTTGGAAGCCAATTCGGGGAAGTTGAGGTGTGCGGATGGCCCCTTGATCGTTAGCGCGGCCACGTCATGCGCTCGGGCGGCCATCTCGGCGGTCGGGAATGTCCCGAGCCAGATCCTCGACTTCTTCTTGGGTTCCCGGATCTCCGACACCCATTTGCCCCAGTTACGCATTCGAACGCCGCGGTAAGAAGGCTGCTTCCCGTCACTGCTGCGCTTCTTAGCGCCCTTGTCACCGGCCGCCTGAGCTTTTCTCTTGGCGGCTTTACTCGAGATCACCTCCGAGTTGCGGGCCACCTCGGTCGACGCATTGGTGGTGATACTGGAGGAGGAAGGGGAGGAGGGGGACGAGAAGGTATTAGCTCCACGTTTCTGCACGATGAGTGGGTCTTTCATGTTGGAGTGCGAGTGAGGAGGCGCAAGTGATGAGGTGCTGCACAGACCTTAACGCGACGGGCATTTATGCATATAATGAGAGCCGCAGTACATCACAAGAAGATGAAAAATGGCAGGAAGGACCCATGCAAAAGGTGCGCAGTACCACTGCAGTTGTGCCATCACTCGATGACATTGATGTTGTCCTTCCTTGGGAACCGCGTTTTACTGCCACCCTTTGCTCCCAAGGAGGCTCTCAAAGCAAACACGAGGACAATCCATGGCAAGCAACCACATGTCCCGCTGTTGACCCACCTGAGCTGTATTTGTTTCTGACATGAAAGAAGCTCCAATTCTGCTCCGTACCATGTGGTACCGGTGGCGGGGAACACCGAGGCCATGGCGATCACAAGATCGCCCAACGTGCTGACCTCAGTCGACATGCATTATGCAGTGTTCTTGGTTCTCGTGGTGCCGCCGCTGTCGTGTGTTTGCAATGGCTTTGTCCATTGCCGAAAGCAGGGGGAACCTTGGATTATTACCCAGCACTGTAAGCATCAGAAACAGAGAAAACAGCAGTCATATCGTTGTGATCTGTGCAATTACAGGGAAGTCATAGTCTTCTTCTAGAAGTGGGGCTTAAGAATCTGAGTAAAAACTTTGGTCGATCTTTAGTTTATTCTCCAAATAAAATAAAATTAAAAATGGGGGAATGCCCGCTTACCAAAGGCACTGCTTGATTTATCTTTTTGTTTGTTTGGAGGAAAACGATGAAAGTTTTTGTTTTCATCGAAAAAGTTTTTTCAAATTAAAAAGGTACAAATTAATATATTAAAATTTATTATCTTGATTATTTATTATGAATATATTAGAATTTCGTTAAACATTAGTCTAGTGACGATGATGGTGTATCAAATTAATATATCAAAATTTGAAGATTTAAGATTTCATCCAATATATTTTTTAAGGCGTCAATAAAGATTTCAACAGTCTATTATAAAGCCCTAGACTCGAAATATAAAATTATTTTTTAAGTTATAGTTCGTAATAACTTTAATAATTTATCACAGGTCTTGGGTTTGAAATATGTCAAGCTGATAAAAAATTTGATAATTTATCGTAAGGTCTTAAACTTAAATCTCGTCTTCGTCACTTATGCTTTATAAAAAAATTAAAAATTTATTAACTTTTAAACATCTTATTTGTTTCGAGATTTATATGAATTTTATATAAATGAAACTAAAACTAGTTTGAGGAATCAAAGTTCTCTGATAAATCTATAGAGAATAAAAGAAAATATTTCAAAGTTAATATGAAAATTATATATAAGAAGTTAGGGGCTTAAATATATGAAGTGATAATATATATACTAAAATCTAGAGGGGGCAAAAATGCCATTTTAGAGCTTAGAAAAGATAGATATGCCGAATTAAACAAAGATAAAAAGGAACAAAAAAAAGAGGGGGGGATTCTGCAACAAAAAAATCTCATGAAATATTGGGTGCAACCAAACAACAAAATGACCACCTGAGTACAGTCCCATTTATTATCGGAGACGGAGGAGAGAGAGAGAGAGAGAGAGATTGTACAAACGGGACCATGGGAGAAAGATCATGATTGGACGAGATCAGTCGGATTGACGTGATAAGGTACGAATGGTTTTAATGCTCCGTGCACACTTTGGTCCATCATAAAGTGAATAGATACAAATTATGACTTGGGATTAAAGTTATTTTTTTTTTCGTGAACAATAATTGTGTGGCTATGAATGTCACAGAGCTCGATCTTGACTTGGGATAAACGCTGATGGTATGTTTAACACATAAGTCATGTTTACAGTCGAACAAGAAGTGATGTTTCTAACGAAAGTCTGAACGAAAAATGTTTCAACTATATTTAATCGATAATATTATTATTATTTTCATCGTTATTCCAAAACTATAATATATTTTTGAATTAATTCTCAAAAATAAACTTTAAGTTTAAAATTTTTTTACGGAACGTCTTTAGTCATATGAAAAGATGATTTTACCATTATCTTCACGAGACCCATCATATGAAAAGATAATTCTCCCTATGTTGCTTCCATCATTTGTTCTTCTTGAACCCAAGGGCATCGCGAGCGTCAATACTAGCCCTAGTCATTCTTACCGAATCCCAAAGACACCGTGAAGGGGATAGCTAACGAGACTAGCCCACGCATGAAGAGGGACAACTAACAGGTCAGTCCATGCACACATGAAGGGAAGCTATCGACAAGACAAAGGATAATGATCGACAATGATAGGATGATCATTTTGAAAAAAAAAATTATTTAAGAAATTTTCAAAGTTAAACACAGTGAGAAATTTTGAAACTTATGAATATTTTTTAAAAATTCACATTTCTTTTTTATATGGAAAAAAACCATATTAATAATTATAATCTCATATATGAATAATCATAACAAAATATTTTCTCTATATGTTGGTAAAAAAAAAATCATGTAGATAATAATCATTTTAATCAGTCTAAAGTTCAAACCCATATAGTACAATATAATTTTCATTTCTGTGGGGCCAGTCTAATCCTAAGTCGTATGGGTGTAGGGATTCATTCTGCACCATTAGGTGATTTATAACAAAATTTTTCATCAATTAATGACTGGCATACATTATTCTGTCATCATTCATAACCCAACAGGAAATGACTGCTGCGAACAAAACCAATCCATCATTATTCATAAGCCAGAAGAAAATAGATTGTGCTACGAACAAAACTAACCCATAATCAACTCTTACCAGTGATTGTGTTACCGCCATTTGTCTAACTTTGACCTTCACGTTACCACAAGCATTTCGTCGTCCCGTGATCGAAATACGTCCCATTCAGTCAAATTAGGTTACAGATTCTGCTGATATGGAATTAACGCGAAACAAATTCGAGAAGAGAAAAGAAACGAAGTCCAGATTGTGCTATAAAATCAGGTTGCTCCAATGCCAAAACAAGACTTGGTACACCAAACTTCTAAATTCTATTCAACGGCTTCACAGAACATACCTATTAGCAAAGAGAGAGAGAGAGAGATTACCCTAAGTTGACCTTTCTGTTGTTAAGACTAATCAAAAACACAGGATGAGAGTCACCACGAAAAGAGCAAGCCAGCCACCTATAGTGCTAAATCGCCGCCCAACTCATCAATGACCTTCTCCAGTTTGAATAGCATCTCTGCAACAACAAAATGTATATCTCCCGTCAAATCTCTTCTTCATCTATTAATTACATTATTCCACTACGTAAAACCTCACTCAGGACAGTAGGAAAGATGGTGGAGAACTTTTCCTCATGAATTCATCTTCATCAAATTTATAAACATTAACAGATTAGCAGAATAGATAATTTAGCATGACACACACTAAGCTCCGATCTTTTAAATGGAAAAAATTAGTAACAAATATGATTTCAAATTAGAAAGTCAAAAATGGCATACCATGAAAAGTAGCATCTGACATGTATTCCTGGAACGAGTACCAAAGAAAAATATAGATAAGTAGGTAGTGATATATATAACAAGCATATAACAATCAGTAACAAGTCAGAATATACCACAATTTTTCTCTTAATATCAGCTCCTGACATTGAGTCCACTTGCTTGGAAGCATCTACGAGTCCAAGTAAATGAAACAGCAAACGGCTAAGAAATAAAATTGTTGTATCTAATCAGATTCTCTTGCATCTTTTAGGGTAATGTCATTAAAGTACCTTGTAAGAGAGGATCCACCGGGTGTTCCTGCAACACAAAATCAATCAAAATTGTCTCATGATTTTAGTTAGTATTACAATATTTAAGAATCAAAATTGAGTAGATATTTCTATAAACGCATATATGGAACTTAATAATTATACCTCATCAGGAGAGGGAACATCAGGCTCAGCTATGGGATTTGTTTGCTCTATTAATTTAAATAAAAAAAGAAAATTAAGCAAAAACTTCATTAGATGGAAATGGAAGCAGAATTTTTATTCAGGAATCCATTTGCAGAACAGTTTTGCTCCGACATGCCTTTTTGGGTACCATTCGAACAGTTGGTTAGAAGCTCTGTAAAGCTAGGTGGAAAGCCAGGGCAAATGGAATGAGTGCAGCTAGAATGCAGCAACTCTGGTTGCTCCCTGCTGTAACTTAAAGCTGGTACTTCCAAACCACACGCTGTTGTAGGTTCTCCAGAACTTGATTAACCGAGGGCAAGAATATTCAGGCATCATGTCTGTCTATCTCAACTAAGAATGCAGTTAATGGAAAGAAAACCTGGCAGAGACTTATACCTATACTGAAGTCCATTAGAGGAAATTATTTCAGATTGAGATGAAGTTTCACGTGCAAAGTCACTCTCCGGCATTCCCCTTGAACATTCCTAAGGTCACATATAACAGGTATAAATCAATTGTAACATCTGAAAAATTGGAACTAAGCTGAAACTAAATACACATCCTGTTTGGAAATTTTATAGAAAATGCCAAAAAATTACTTCTCAATTTAGTTCTCTGATGACTCGAGCCTAAGACACCAACTTAAAAACCTAAAATTCTCCTTAGGTCCAAAAAATATCACATAACATATGTCCATCAAACCAAAAATTCACCAGATCACACCTTAAACTAAGATAGCAGCCTTGTAGATTGACCAGATCACTTAGGGAAAAAGAGAAAGAAAATGCAAAGATTTTATGCACCTTCACAAAAGCAAGGAATGCTTCAACATCAGAACAAGTTGGGAATCGCACAGCAAACTTCTGAATCTGCAACATTGCAAAAAGGAATTACCGTAGCCACATCACCAAGTGAAGAAATGAAGCAAAAAACAATATGATAAAGACAAGAAAACAGCAAGCCACAAGATCACAAATATTGTAAAATTGTAAGAGACTTTAGTTCATCCTAACTTGGGAATAAATAGCTACAAGAACAATCGCTGTTCATGATAAGATTTAGGAAACAAGGGGAACCATGTAAACCAGGGATGGAACAAGCAGAAGCTCAGTCCAGAAAATTCAACTCAGTATATAAAGTCTAACATCTATGTGAGCTCTCAACAGTGTAATTCATATTTCATACTATTGATGGTTGGCATATAACATTGTACGAAAAACAGAGTGAGAGAGCACAAACGAACTCACCTGGCTGGAGACATCCATGTAACTCATGAAGACCACCCTGCTCCCCCTGACTGGGCATTGAGAAACACATGAAACTTGCGGCCATGAGAAGAGGAGACTGGAAACAAAGTGTTCCTCCTAAGCAGAGAAAGGACACATTTGGTTTGCTGCTCAATTAATCCACATATATCTGATGCTTATCTATAGTCGTCCAATAACACTTGCAAAAATCACAAGAGGAAGCGAAGCGAGGAGTTTGGTAACATAAAAAATTGAAAGAGAAAAGAAAAGAAGAAGAGGAAAAAGAACAACATCCAAGTCGACTAGCTTTCTACTGAGGTATTATTAAATCCTTTTTCCTTGTTTTGGTTTTTTAGCATTGGAATTTTTTGGAAAAACATTTGCTAAGATCAAAGCCCATTAGGAACACACTACAATGAAACTCTACATTCTAGATGCATCAGAAATAAATTACCACATTAGTACCAAGCATTCGGGCTCTACAAACAATACGCAATAGGATGTCCTTCGACACACTTTGGTGATGGAAGAAAAAGAAGATTACCAAAAATCGACACAAATGCACGGAGTTAAGTCCAATGCACTTGCGTGGAGCTTCTTGCCGTAGACAGAAACGCATAGGAAAACAGACAAGAACGAACAAAAGAGAAAAAGGCCGCATTTAACTCCTAATTTTAGGGCTCAATGAGAGACGAAGACAAGAGGGGATACAAACAAGAGCGTATTCCTGGACGTTGACGGAGAGGACGAAGGCAGAGGCGCCGGTCGGCTTGTGCAGGATGAGAAGGGCCGGGGAGGAGGAGGTGATCCATGTGCCCGTGGATCGGATCTTGCCCTTGGGGAGAGCCCGGAGGCCAGCCGGAGCGCCGGAGGCCCACCGTGGTAAATTGAAGAAGCGCGAGAACTCCACCTCCCATTGATTCCTCGTCACCACCGCCGGCTCCGAGTGGTTCATCAAGAATCCCTCAGATCGCGTCATTTGCATTCGTCCTCCCGGGTCTCGGAGAACGGAGACGGAGAGCATGCAGGTCTGCAGCTTCGCTTCCCTCTATTTGAACCAGCAAGACCGATACAAAACAATGTCTTCGCGACAGCTGTCCAACGCAAGGCCCACCCGTTCCACCATGTACTACTAAGAGCTGAATCAACCCTGAATACTCTGTAGGATTGGTGTAGTCACATCACTCCTGATGGCTACTCTACCAAAAGGATGAGTTTGGTCCACCGGTCCCTATTTTTGGTATGGGCTGGGGGTGGCCATCGTTGCGACGGCGGTCTCCATCGATCGTACCATCACAGTCTCCATCGATCGTACCATCACATGTAGCATTGACACTGGACGGTATCATCGCCTGACACCCTTCCACTGGACGATCGTGCTTCCTTCGGAACATGTTTGCGTAATGAAATTGTCTTATGATTTGATCCGATGGAATAGTCTTAATCCATTAATCTAAAATATTTAAATTCAAACTAATAATAGTATATTCGATAAATCAATTTAAGTCTGTCCACATGAGACTAAAACGGATGTGCTGTAAATCCACTAAAAGATGTATCCAACATTAACTAGACTTGTTTAGTTAATGAACAAATTTTGTAAACCAATTTAGAAAGGAACAAAAAAGTATGAGGCTAGAATAAATGTGAAAAGCAATTTTCTCATGCTGCATGCTAAAACATCCAACATTTATGAATACATCATAGACTTGAACAGAGGTGTAGCAAAACGATACAGTGAATCCACAAGACTGCTAGGAGTCCCAACAATGAGGACAGAAAAGACGGCCTAGATCACATCCAGGACCTCGAGCTTAGAGTTTTTTCTTCTTTTTTTTCTAATATCTAATGACTGAAACATCACCTGACTATGAGCTAACCTTTGAACACGAGGGAAGAAATATTGTACAGCAAAAAGGCTTTGAAAATAGTTCTATTGTGCTGAGGTAACCACCAAACGAGCAAACAGACTTTACCCTTACAAGCACCCTTCCGTGGCACCAATTTAGATCTTGGAGGATGCTGGAACCTTAGAAGTGCACAAAGATAAAACTTGGATTGGATCTATTGCAGCAATCAAGAGACAATCGAGTGCTTGTCTGGCCAATTACAAGAGCCAGCAAACTCAATCCTTCCAGTATCTCGCCCAGTATCCCTTCTTCCTGGTAGATTCATTTTCTGAAACTGTTGGTGACAGTGGCATTTCGATGGAGAGGTGTTGCCTAAACGGCTTGCTAAACGAGTTCTTCAGGCTAGAACTGGCTCCCATCCGATGCCCCTTACCAGCCCTCCACCACTCAGAGAATGTATCTCCAGCCATATCAGTGTCAGCCACCACAATCCTAGATCCGTTGCTTCTACCACTAGATTGGGCCTTTCCAAATAGCTTTGTGATGGATTTTTCCCCATAAATGCAAACAGGGCAAGGTGGGTCATGTCTGTCGGTTTCTGGTGTTAAGTTGTCCAAACATTCAGCATGGTAGGCATGACCACAAAACAGAACTGCAACCACAGAGAGCTCATTGCTGGAGACAACTTTGTGGGAACTCCATGGAGATTTTTTCTGTAATAGCTTCAAGCATATTTTGCATTTTTGCTGATTAAGAGAGACAGGTCTTGGTTGCTCTGGAATTAATTTTCCAATTTTGCTGTTAATGGTGCTAAGGTTTTCACTGTCATAGGACCATCTCTCCCTCTGAGAAGAAGCAAGATCTGAGAACATGCACATGGACCACCCATCAGAAGAACTACCATGAGATCCACCCATGGGCAAGTCATTGCTGCAAACAGACAGTCCGAAGGACTGCCTTCCTTCGGGGAAGCTGTTCTCATTCAAAGAGTTCAGAGATGGGATTCTACTGTCAGATATCATCCTAGAGAGTTGGTAACCTGGTGAACTTTGAGCCTTTCTTGATGATGTCGGATCAGAGGGTAAAGAGTGACTCCATGACGATGAAGGATCTTCTTTGGAAACTGAAGATGTTGAAGGCACAAAACCCGTTGGCCTGTCATATGAAGTGCATCCTACACATGATGATTTAGTCCAGCCCTTGAACTACACATTAAATTAAATAGCATTAAATAAATATATGATAATTCATTACTAAAAGATAGTATAGAATGCAAATTTGCAAACTCAGTCACAACTTGATCCAGATCACCTCAAGGGATATGTCGCTTCCAATGGATTGACCTGTTAAATGAACAAAATGTAAAAAGAAACTTCAAAGGAAATACCACTATATGCATCATAAAATGTCAGCAGCAGACAACTATTGACCGTAATTTAGAGTCACTATCTTCCTCTGAGAGCAGGGACCAAAATTAGTTGCACTAACAAGAAAAGTTTAATCATCTAATGCCTTTGGATATAATGCATTATTAGCCATAGTAGTTGGTCTATGACAAAATATTACCATCGCGTAGGGGTATTCTCCAACTTGAGAATGAGATAGGCCTTCAAAGGATGAAAAAGAGAGATTTATTTACGATGATAATTCTATTGCAACAAAAAATAACAATGCAATGCATGTCTTCAAAGCTTACAGGCACATCTATTTCTGGTGCTACTAGTGTCAAATCTCTAATTCCAACTAGGACTCTTAGAACAATTCATCAGTTACATGAAGTAGCAGAATGTAATGATCAAATATGTTTGTAACATTGCGCTCCTGTAGTCCTACATTAGCTAGGGTCTAAATACCAAAAGGAGTACTACAGAATCATCTATATGGATAGTCCTAAATAATATTCATTCATGTTTAGCATTCATGTTGTTAACAAAGCATCTACATACTCATCTATACAGTTGTGTATTATTCCAGAGGATAGTCCTAAATAATGTCATCATCAAACAACATCTGTAGGCTTCCTTTAGTCAACACAGAATTAAAAACATAGAGGATCACAAGATGTTGTCATCAAACAACTGTGATACTAGCTTTATTAAGAAACATTGTTTGGTTTCCTCATCTGTTATTTCTCAACCAAAAAGCCTACAACACAATATCTCTAGCAGCATTAACCAGTAGGAATGAAAATTCTAGTACTGATACTTACAAACAGATCCTAAAAGAATTCATGTTAAAGCATTTAAAAGCCCTGATAAGAATGTGTTGTGCAGAATAAGTAAGTTTCTAAGCCACACTTACACATAATATAGAAGAATCTAGGTGGAAGAGAAGAGTGAATAACTTAATCATTTTTGTGATTCGCTAAGGACATTCTATGGAAGATTTTGCTACATATAGAGATGCCTTGGAACGGTAAAAATACAACTAAATTGCACACTACTCTAGCCACACAAACTAATAATTCTATTCTTATCAGCTAACTTGGCCACTTACCAAAGAAAAACCAGAAGGTTTCATGTGTACATGGAAGAAACAAAATGAAATGTCTTACCACTGCCATTGTCTCTTGATTTCCGAGAACTTCTGGTTTTAAAGGGAGACTTGTGCCACTGCTGTGCCTGAAAATTTTTCAAAGGACTACTGCCATCAAGAAGTCCAGTTTCAGATGCTACCCCAACCTTAGTTTTGAAGCTGGCGTCCCCACTACTGATATGAGAAAGTGAAGTAGGGTTATCCATGATGTCCTCTATGTGTGTTCTGTTGTCCCGTCGAAAGCTCCACGAAGGTGAGTGTCTTACGTTCCTACATGTAGAAAGAGAAGTATCCGGCACGAGTTTGTCCTTGGCAGCAACACAGCAGTTTGCCCCCATTCGTGGTTGGGAAGCCAAAAGAACAATTGCTAAGATATAAGGATATTGAACTTCCAGATAGTATTCACAAAGAAGCCATTAATTAGTTATCACCCGATCAACGAAGTTTGAAATGGAAACCTCGATCCTTCAGCTGCTTTTAACATGAAACAGTTAGTAATATGATCATGTAAGATTTAGCAATTGAATGAAATAGTTAAATTTATACCAATAAAGAGCTTGTCAAATATCACAAAAGATTCTTGAAACCAAGTTATCAACACACATCACAAATCAACAACCCTCAAAAATAAAATAAGCGAACTAGAATAAAACTGAATCCCCCGCCATCTCAGGCAAGAAACCCCCGTTTTATATCAATAAAAATTGAAGCTTTTTCATTATGGGGAGATATGACATCATGCCAAAGCTAGAATAGTCTAATCAAAGGAGCAAAGAGAAAGCTCGCTGATTGCTCCACCCACCGTGGAATACCATCAGAAGAAGAAGAAGAAATAGGAAAAGCCAGCGGTTGATACGTCAAAGAAGTGGAAATTTAGTCAAATGAATCCACGCAGTCCAACGCGACTTGGCTAATTCAAAGAAGATATTTCTGTAATGCAACAACAGAATCAAATGCGCACTGGTATAATAATCAAACAAGCAACACTGGTGAAAGGAACAGGCCGACTCTGCCACCCAAGGAAGATATTATCCGCTAGTTTCTCTAGAAAAGAAAACAAATCGAAAGTAAATATAACTTCGAGACACTACGACACCAACTCTACCTAGAATTCTATAAAAAGTCGAGATAATGATCTACCTAGGTTGAATTGATCTATAGAAAGTGACTTATTTGTACGCAACCTTTTTATAATTTCCGATTAGAATCAGCAGTCAAAGTACAATCCCAAGATTCTAAAGGGCAACCCATGGGTGAACAAAATCCAACCGATTCTTGAAGGTAAGCTGCGATCATAAATAATTTCATTGCAGACAGAGGTTAACTCATGGCTATTTCACAATCACATGATCCAGATGAACTCGAAATCATCAACGCTTCCAGCTTCCTGAATAGGAAACGCAGACTCTGAAGGAGAAATTAGAGACATTGGTTTCTACTGTTATGTAATCCCGAATCAGAAGCGAAGAATAAAGGAGAGGTCGGAGGAAAACCAAACAGACCGGCGGCAAACAACGCTCCGACGTGGATCGACCTAACGTAGAAACTTGAGAACTGGGGGAGGGAAGGACTCACAGCGTCGAGATGGAGATGACGAGGGCGAATCCAAGTCCCGCCTCTACATGAAACGCCGGCCTCATCGTGAGATCGGCCAACCCAAAATCGATCTAGTGTGTGTGGCAGAAAAAAGGGGATGGTCGGACGGTTCCACGGGGGAGAAACCGAAGGTAGAAGATGATGGAAGCACCCATCGGAACCCCTTGAGGCTCCTCTCTTTTCCCCTTCTCTCGATCGCTCGCTTCGCTCCGTCTTTTCCGAAGGGCTTTTCTTTCCGCCAGAGGCCGAGCTCAGATACCTGATCCAACCGCACCGTCGCGAGTCTCATATGACGGTAGGGGGTCATGAGAAGTAGCAGCAATTTGCGTGCAAGTTTCAATTTGACAGTGGCGTGGGTCCCAGTGGTGGGAACGCCTGGGTACTGTTGTTTGACTAGGTTCCAAGCACCCGAGGCGTGTGTGGCAGTGTGAGAAGCAATCATCAGGGGACCACCGCAAAACAAGGGGACCCGGTGGCGGTCTCCCGTTAGGAACAGTGTGTCCGACCCGTTTTGCGCTCGGCCACCGCATGTCCTGCCTTTGGTTCGGACGGTCATGCCGCACAGGACGTCTTCCACCGCTCGCTCGGTGGGCGGAGACGAAGATGGCGTGCGTCGATGTCTCCGTGGATCTCCGCCATCCGTCGCTCATCTGTCCGAACCAACCGAGTCATACTTTGCGTGCGTAAGTAGCAAAAGGAGGCGGTAGAGCTTCGGACTCTCACCTTCACCGACCTGCTTCACTGAATTCACCAGCTACTGTCTCAACGCGAACAGAGAGAGAGAAGGGTAAGCTAACGCATTCGAATTCAAAGCCTGTCATCAACCCTCGCCCCACAACCATGACATCTATGGGTCTCCTACACAGCTGGTAAGCAGTGGGCAACAGTAGCACCAGGTTTCTGACCCCAGCCTCAGAGATGACACATACCATCTGAATTCGATCAGCTAACTTCTCCAGGTTCCAACGTCAGTGTCAGAAATAGGTCGGACCGAAGCAGCTTGACGGTCAAGCGCTCGTGATTTATGCTGCCATGACGCACATCACTGCTTATCCATAGTTCGAATGAGCATGCCAAAAGGATCATTATAATGACGCAGTGTATATTGCTTGGCTGTATTAAAACTAGAAATTGAGCAAGCCATACTTTAATACAGCCAAGCTATATAAATGATCTTTATAATGATGATAATGCAATAGAAAATTTGATTTTTAATCTTTCATAAGATCATTCATAATATGCATTCCAACCAAACAGCACCGAAAACGCAAATCCATAGGCAATTAGCACCACAAGATTAAATCATATGGAAGCAAATGAGATGCGAATGGTCTGCAATTACCACTGAGGTTGACCACTTTATTCTAAGGAACAAAAAAGATGTAAATAATGGTCTTTATTCATAGCAAACAATATTTATTCAACAGTGGGATATCGTAGGAGCCATGATTTACATACTCGACTCTGATCTAGACACCAAAACGAAGTAAATTGTATGCCAACAATTCCATTTTGAATGCACTAAGTGTCCATTGTTCCAAATCTTGACCTTCTGTTGCACAAGAAGAGGACATCATGGCTCTATCTTTCCTGGTGTTACTTCAGCCAGCAAGATCCAGTTCATAATAATGATGACACTCTCGAGGAAGCTTGCTCCTGTTTCTTTTTATCTGTAGATCATACTGTTCTTAGTCTATCAGGCAACTCTCTCAAATAGTTCAGCTGTTGATGTGTTGTCTAGTGCTTCACATTTCTTACCGTAATAAGAGGAATGTGGATTTCAAGGGTGCTCCTGTCGAACGATCTTGGCACCCCATGTTAGGAATCATACAGCTTTTGTTCCTTCACATTTTGGTGTTGCATTTGTTTTTATCTGTTGTCAGATGAGGACGGATTCTGGATGCATCATTCTGCCTCCAGCCGGCTTACCAATGGATTTAGAACGATTTATTTTTGTCCACATATAGGTTATGTATTCTATGACTGCAAGCCGTATCTTCCGATTAGATTGCTTCTCTGTGACTATCATATCAATATCAAGTCAAGAGAAACTGCCTATCTACGTACACAGGAGAAAGGCTAGCTCGCTCCATGCTCTCGTATTTTGCTCTTCTTTTGTACATGTCTACTTTGTTGCATTGTGTTCATGTTGTAGATCTTTCTCCTACAGATTTTGTCCAGAGATGCTCATGTTTCTCTGCAACCTGTGGGGGGAGCAGCTTCAGAAGCAGCTCAAGCCATTTCTAAGGATCTTTGTGTTAGTGTAGTATCGCAAACGGTAATCTAATCTGCTTGGGTCTCCGTTGCCAAATACATGTCTGGAAATCTTTTGTTTAAGGTCTGCTTGATTGATTCTCCACAAGGTTTTTTTTTCTAGCAATTAACATGTTGAGATGTTTTAATGGTTTGTAGATTGTTGAGACAACCACCATTTCGCATCAAATGTGACAAAGACAGCATAAGATTATCTCATATGAAAAAAAAAATATTTTTTAATTAATTACATATGATTGCATAAGGATGATATGGATATATTTTCTAAAAAAATTAAATTATTTTCTTTTTAAATAAAGTATATGTAAAAAATAAAATAATTATTTTATTTTTTTACAAGAATATAAATATTTAAGAGGAACTACTTACAAACTATACTTCCGACAAAATGGAAATAAGAGAATGAAAAAATCGAGTTGTGATTGAAAAAATCTTAGTATTTGCTTAAAGAAAAAAAAAATACAATGAGAGTTTTGTTTAAAAAAATTATGAGGACAATAGTATATTTATTAAATTACTTTCCTGCTAAGAAAAACGGACAATGAAACATGATTGGATAGAAAGTCAGATGTGAGTCACCAAAAGTATTTGATTATATTGCTTTTTTTCATGTTCCTATAAGAAAAACAAACTTAATGAAAAATATATTATATATATATATATATATATATTTGTTTGGTGTAGTAATAAAATAAAAGGTTTTAAACTTTATGATCCTACAAATTGACTATAAGTCATTATATTATTTTTAACGAAGAAGAAGTTTAAAACTTTAAAACGGTTAGTTAAAATTCTAATAATTGTAGAAAAAAAAATTATAAGGCATATGATATATTGCCTATTATTAATATCTCACGTGAATATTCTCATATTTTAAATTATTATTGTAGAAGAAAATTATTCTCATATTTTTCACAGTTTGGATCTATTAGTCTCTCCTTTTATAATCAATGTACTCATGCTAATCTTCTTCGAACCAATGAGTACTTCTAATCTATAATGTCTTGGACCCATCCAAACCCACATATTTATCTTAGCGAAAAGGATAAATATAAAATATTTAAACAAGAAAAAGGTCAACCATAGCCCAACAACTCATCTATTTAACCTAATATAAATCTTTATTTTTTGTTGCATCTAATCCTAACTATTTAAATTTATTTTATCAGTTGAGCTATTATTATTATTATATTTAAAAAAACTTATAGTTTATTTTTTTTTAACTAATATAAATACATGCAGTGGAATAAATTCAATATATTATAAATAAAAAAAATACTTTTTTGTATACAGGAAGCACCACAGCCATCATGCACGTCTCGGCCTCGGACAACTGAATCAGTAGTGATGAGGGTAATAATTACGATAAGACTCACGTGACATCAACTGCACCAGATGACACATCATGCCTCTGTTGATTTGATGAGGCACCTGGTCAACATGGACCGGAACGCCTACCAAGGCGCATTAACGCCCTGTTCAAGTTCCATCCCTCACGCCACGCCAACGGCAACGTCGGAAGCTACCAGAAGTACGGTTCTGCTCCCTGCGGGCCAGCACATCAGGCAACAGTAATTCTCACTATAAAAACCCTCGCACTCTGAGGGGAAAGGAGGGAGAACTTAGTCAAAGAAACCTCATACGACTATCCACTAATTTGATCGTCGGAGGGGTTGGGTCGAGCTCCTCGACCTAACCTTTGTGCAGGTGCGAAGGCGGAGGTCGTCCATTGAAGGCGCAGGTGGGGGTTCTCTTCCGGTGGAAACGACGACCTCGTCCCGATCAAACCAACGCAATCAGCCGTCTCAACGGTTTCGGGAAACGTCTCAGGGAGATCCCCTATCATCCGGACCCAAACCAAGCCACGACGGCCTCGAGGCCACGGCTTGAAATTGTTTACGTCAACAAGTAGAAAGCGTAAGGCGGACTATCTAACTCTCTCATGTAGCACCGGTAGGTGAGAGAGCTCATTGTTGTGTGTTAGGTTACATGCAAACGAAACAGCATACGAAGCACGCATTTTCTATACGTAGCTATTTCTTCTTCGTTCCTTTCTTTTTATTAGAATGTTCTGAGACATATTCTATCAATCATATATCAATCCCATATACAAAGAAGTTAGCTGTGTGATCAACTGACTCGTGACTTACTTTACAACTACTCTGACTTTTTTCCTTTTGAAAAACGAAATGATGTTTTTATCTTTTATCTTTCATTCGTTTTGATGTCAAATATGACTTTTGTCCTCATTTAATTTAAATAATAATAATAATAATTTTTTGAGTAAACAAAATAAGAAAAAAACAAAGAAAGGATCTCCCTGCGTGCAGCTGTTGTGTCAATTAATATTCCCTTAGTTGTGTGAGAATGTGTGTGTCCTCATGTCCTGGAGAGGAAAAGTACATGAGGAAGACGACGCAGAACTGATCAATCAATCGCCTTCCACTGTGGAGCCATCGTGCTCGTCTCCGCCTTGGACAACTGAATCAGTAGAAAGCAAAAAGCGGCGACGATAACCTAACCATCTCGTCAAGTGCGGGTAGATGAGAGCACATTGTTGTTTGTTAGGTTGCATGCAAACAAAAAAGCACAAGGGGCTCGCATTTGTTATATGTAGCTACGTAGGTTGAGCAGAGAGATTGCAGTCGTAGAAAAGGTGCATTGCGTCTTACTCCTTTGTTCCATCAACTTCTTCTTCTGTTCCCATGGCGTACTTCCGCTGTCGCCCGTTGACAACGAGTAACCCCAGCGTGGGCGAGAAGGGGATGGTGTGCGTGACTGGGGCCGCCGGATTCGTAGGGTCATGGCTCATTATGAGGCTCCTTGAGCACGGCTACACTGTGAAAGCGACTGTTCGCGATCCGAGTACTGCTTCCCATTGATCTAATTTACTGGTTAGCTAGTCCTAGTAGAGTTGGTGATGATGCGTGGTTAATTACGTGATCGTCGTGTTCAATAAGTTCTATAAAGACATGAAAGTGTTTGATCGGATTGTGGTGGTTTGATCTTTGTTGCAGACAACTTGAGGAAGGTGAAACATCTGCTGGATCTTCCAAAGGCTAGCACCGATCTTACGCTGTGGAAGGCTGACCTCGTTGACCAAGGAAGCTTCGATGATGCCGTGCGAGGGTGCGTGGGTGTCTTCCATGTCGCCACTCCAATGGATTTCCAGTGCTCCGACCCCGAGGTAAGCCCAGACACAACCTACCTATTCTAGTTGACTCATACTGTACATCCCATGACTCTTCCGAAGATACAAGACGAGCTTGCAAAGATCTGCCAGTTTAATGGAGTTAGAGAAAGCAAAAAAGACGATACATCATGCATTTGACATTGGTTTTGGCTTGTTGTTTCAGAACGAAGTAATAAAGCCAGCGATAGATGGGATGATGAACGTCCTCAAGTCCTGCGCAAAGGCAGGCACAGTGAGGAGGGTGGTGTTCACGTCGTCTGCTGGAACCACCTGCGTTCATGCTCGTCGCAAGGAGGAGTACGACGAGAACTCATGGAGCGATGTCGAGTTCTGCAGGGCTAAGAAGATGACTGGTTGGGTAATCAACCGGACACATACACGGAATCATCAATTCGCCGACTACGTTTTGACTACAGTAGTGCAAATTAAGCTCTTATCTTTGTCCTGTGGCCACACATTTTGCAGATGTACTTCGTCTCAAAGACGCTGGCGGAGAAGGCAGCATGGGAATTTGCCGAGAAGAACCATTTGGATTTCATAAGCATCATACCGACCTTAGTCAACGGACCATTCATCATTCCCACCATGCCTCCCAGCATGCTCTCTGCTCTGGCTTTGGTAACAGGTTCGCATGCCCACGTCTTCTACGTAATAAATCACCAGTTTCCTGCCACCTACATATCATTCGAACAGAAACCAACTCTCTCTCTCTCTTTCTAAACTCACTGCCAATGATGATGATGATGGTATAACAATGCTTGGCAGGGAACACACCACATTACTCGATCTTGAACCCAGTCCAGTTTGTGCACTTGGATGATCTTTGCATGGCTCACATATTCTTGTTCGAGCATCCGGAAGCGAAGGGGAGATACGTTTGCTCTTCTCACGACATCACCATCTCCGATCTGGCGAAGATGCTAACGGAGAGGTACCCTGAGTATGACATCCCCACCGAGTAAGTCACCTCCGCGAGAAGGACTGTAAGATCTGGTGTTGGACTCGAAGAGGGGATTATATATCTACTTTGATTCTCTTGCCATAAGACTGACTGAGGGCTGCACCAATTACACGTAGGTTTGAAGGGATCGATGAGGTATCGGACGTGATCAAGTTCTCCTCAAAGAAGCTTACTGACTTGGGCTTTACGTTCAAGTACAGCATGGAGGACATGTTCGACGGAGCAATAGAGTCGTGCAGGGAGAAGGGATTGCTGCCGCTGACAACCAAGAAAGAGCAGGTCGATGGCCACAACTAGATTTTACCAAGGGAATAACACGTCAGATGATCTGTGTTGGAGAACTTCTATCTTCTGTTCATCTTTATTTGGGTCATGTATCTCAGAGCAATATAGTCTCTTTGCATCTTCTATCCAGTTAATAAACCGAATCGATGGCTTTACTAAAGGTGATATACGATGACAAACAAAAAGAAGGTCAAAAGACAAAAACAAATTAAGCCTTTGGATTGTGATGAAAAAGATAGTTCTTCAGCTTTTAATTTAGCGTAAATTATGGGACCTCTGGCGCATGCACAAGTGTTCGATCATGCGCTTACAGTCTGCAAATGCTTTGGGGCAACTGACATGGGATGACATACCTTTTGTGAGAGAGAAGGGAGACTTTCCCATGCTAATGATTGAAGCCTTCTTGTTATCTTGATTCCAACCTAATTAGAATCCATTGGATTCATGCAACCTCGTTTTCATAGAATTATAATACGAAGGGCTTTCAGTCTTTTCCATAATTTAGTATGGAATTATTTACAAAATCATGATGAAAACAAGGAAACTATTACTGAAAGCAGAATTATATCGAGGGGGAGAAAAGACTTCCAAAATTAGAAGAAATCATCAATGATCAAAAAATTATAGAGAAAATCAAATACCTTCTCACAAGATCCTTAAATTATCCCACTATGTACAAATCTACTTGTATACCTATATAGAAGAATCAAATCTTAATTTATATTTTTTTTGTGAGGAGTCTCATATTACTTGTTCTTTTAGAACACTAATTCAAAAATATTAAAATACTTATTTATCCCAATAATATATAGAATATTTAAGGCTTTAGTTCAGTATCACGAGCAACCAAGCATAATGTGCTGAGAATTGATTCATAGTAGTTATCTAGATAGTTACCATGTTCTAAGTAGTTGTAGACATATTTTAAGAAGTTGTCTGACCTATGATCTAGTAGTTATAAAATAATTCCTACATCTAACTCGATCATGGGTGGCATGATGAAATGAGATAGTTTTTACTAGATCCTATAAATATAACCATAGTTTATGAAGCAAGATAAAGAGTATATACTTAGGAATATATTGTAAGTATTCTATATCTTTCCTTTAAATATTATATCGGTTTTCTTGATCCAAAGAAATTTTTTTAATTATATCATAGTATTCTGTTTTTATCATTTTCTTGCTCCTCCTTGCTCCTCCATCCCGAACATAATGGTCCTCTTCAACTTTTGTCACTCTCTAGTGGTAGACTAGATTTGTTGCCGTCGCTGCTGCACTCACAAACATCGCTGCCATCGTCGCTGTTTCCCATTCTTTCATCACCGCCACTGCTGTCGATGCCGTTGTTGCCCTCGACTGCCCCGTTGTTGTTGCTCACTACTGCCGTCATTGCTGCTGCCCGCTGCGACGTGATCTCAGAGGAAGCGGTCCAGGTATTCATCTACGGTAGTGTATTCGACGTCAGGGTAGAGAACTGAAGCCTCCACCCCAAAGGATGGCTCCATCTCAAAGTTGGTTTGGTCCCCATTGACAAAGAATGAGTGTGAAATAGCAAGTACGATGTTCAGTAGTAGTAGCGATTCTAAAAGAAATTAGCAATCATGTTAGTAGATGGGCTTAGATGATCTCTAGTTATGAAAACTTCTTTGCACAGAACTAGCAATCTTCTTCAGAGACCTAAAAACCCTCTCAAGAGTCTTGCCGACTTCCTTCTCCCAAAGGGAAACTAGCTCGTTGTGAGATACGGCCAACCCCAGTCACGCCTCCTCCTGGTCTAAGACTGCCCACCCACCCGAGTGCACCACGGTGCCACTCCGTCGCTCCCAGCGGTGCGAACGCCTCCATCGATCTGACATACAGAAGATCAACGTACAGAAAAGGATGATAACATACTGTATTACGATCTGATACACTGAAGTGATGAAGAAAAGACTATGATTAGAGTTCAAGGTTGAGTAGATTATCGTCGATCTCATGTCGCATGTCACAAGATCGATCTTGAAACGTAGAAGAAGATAAAGGAATGCACTGCACTTCGTGCCCATGCAAACCTGAATTGAATCGGACTGATATACACGTGAAGTCCCCTCATATTCCGATCTCCGAAAGCTGGGATAATAGCAACACTGCAGCTAAAAGGAACATCTAATGATGGACATAAAAATCATAATAATTAGAAGCACATGCCTCGGCCCTATTCGACGGCATAAATTAAGCAAGCACAAGGAGTAGCTTCTTGTGATGCACTATGGGCTTTCTTTTTCTGTTTATGCCAAATAAATAATACTTGGAATTGAAGTGTTGACTTGGATGATAAATAAGTTTATGCCAAATAAATAAATAAGTTTATTTATGCCAAATAAATAAATAAGTTTCTACGACTGTCAAACTCATAATAAGTTATTATCCACGCATAAATGGTGAGTCCATATTATTGTGTAGAAACTCTTCTCCCCACTAAATACGGGAGAAGAGTTTCCTCTCAGTCAACATCTGCCTTCACCAGTCTCTCACCTACTCATCTGCAAACCTCCTCCTCCTCGTTAGTCTATTACAAGTGTTTGTGGCCTGCCATGCTAGAATTCATAGAGAAAAACGAGATTAGTTTCTCCTGTCTACAGTTTTCAGTTGTCTCTCCTTCTCTGCTCCTCTGCCATCGAGTTATTCCTTTCTCTTTCTCCCTCCTTCCCATCTCCGAAGAGAGATCCGGGAACCGCTCCCATTTCTTATAGTACAATTGAGATATGCCTCCTAGAGGTTATGCTTTGGTCATCTTCTTCTGGGCTCTGCTCACCGTCATCACCCCGACTCTCATCTTCCTGTCAGCCTCAGGAAAACAAAGTCACCACACCACAGGTGAGATCATATGATTTCCTCGAGGACAAGTAGGAATGCTGAACTCTTTTTCTGTCAGAGTCTTCTTAGTATGGAAACTAAAATCGCCTACATTTTATCTGATAGGCGAGGCGATTTATGATCCGAAGATGAGTCGGAGAATGATGGTGGGCATCATAGAGAACGGGCCATTGAAGAACATCACATCGAGGACAGCAGCACAAGCACCGACGCTGGCGCCAGCGCCAGCTCCAGCTCTTGTGACAGGGAATGACCGCTTAGCTAACAGGACATCGATAGCTTGATTCATTGTATGGTGATCCACTGGCATGATATGTTCATAAGAGAGGGTGAATGAAGCGATCGTATGCCATTCTCGACAGAGAAAGATTTTTGTCCCTGCATTTGAGGCAACAATTTCTGTTTAAGTTCCATCAAATCGATCTACCTTTTGCCCCCTTTCAAATCATGGCTTTTGCTTTCTCCTCATAAAGATCTGTGGTGGTGTGTTCCTTTGGGTTTTTTTTGGTACGGACTAATTTGTACGGCAGTTTCTGTCGGAGTTGTGCTCTCGAATTGGAAGCGGTGATTAGAGCCATTACAAGTAGCCAATCGAGAACATATGTTCTGTAAGGAGGGCAGATGGCATCGAGTTAAGGATTGTGTTTACTACCAACAAAGCAGAAGTGAACTCTCAGACCACCATTGGATTAATTCACACGATAAATCTATCACGTCAGCCACAAGTAAATGAAAAATATTTTCTGAATATTTTTAATTAAAAGAAAACAAATGTTGTCCATAAAAGAGAGTCATGGATGTGACTTTGCAAGTCGAATTCTCTCTTCTTACTCTTTGACCTATCCACCATTGTGTTATTGACTCGACCACTTGGGAAACTTTTTCAGCATCGATCCATTTTTTGTATAGGAGAGAGGCCTTCGATAGTTCGGCAACACAATGAAGTGCTCATGGTAGGGGCAATGCCATTTTCTCTTCGCACAAATTGAACTAATCATCTTTCCGACATAATTCAACTATTCTTTTAGTTCAACTCTCTTTGTTGTTTAATCATTTAAACAACAAAGAGACATACATACGATCATTATGTATTGACATCACACCAATTAATACGACACACAAACTCATCATAGTGATTAATTTGCATTCCTAAGTGGCTATTGGGGATCGACGACGTGCTCTCAGAGGAAGCGGTCCAGGTATTCATCCACGGTAGTGTATTTTACGTCAGGGTAGAGCATCGAAGTCTCGACCCCAAAGGATGGCTCGATCTCAAAGTTGGTTTGGTCCCCATTGACAAAGGATGAGTGTGAAATAGCAAGTATGATGTTCAATGGCATTGGCGATTCTGAAAGAAATTAACAATCATGTTAGTAGATGATCTCTAGTTGTGAAAATTTCTTTGCACAAAATAAGTCCATCACCTTGGATTTGCCTCAAAACATCTTCTTCAGAGACATAAACCCTCTCAAAAGTCTTGCCGACTTTCCTCTCCCAAAGGGAAACAAGCTCATTGTGAGATAAGATGTTGGCGGGTGGTCTCGAATATAGAATCTTGTTCAAGGCTCTTGGATCGTCCACTGCATTTATTGTATATGCGCCGATGTCGTCTTCATCAAGAAAGATAGCTGTTGTAGGAAGAAAAAAAAAAAAAAAAACAACACCATTTGAAGTCGAACCATTAGATCGGAACAAAAATGCTTGGTTTTGGCACCAAAAGACTGGTGAATGAGTTACCTTTCGTGTTCCCGTCACCCAAGATGACAACCTTATCTGTGGGAAGTCCACTAGCTCCTGCCTGTGCCAACTTCGGGAGGAAATACCCAGCAAAAAAGTTGCAAGACACAAAGGTATAAGGGATGCCTGCTGCCTCGACAGACCTTCGAATCTGCACCTTGATCGCATACATCGACTTTGCTGGCTCCACGGCATGAATTCGGTCTGGATCATTGCCAAACTCTGATGGAATGAACCTCTGAAAACTCATCCATTATGCAAATACTCATCATGGAATTATTACAAGCCAAATAATGACATGCATCCAATTTTCTAGATACTGAAAACACTCCTAGTAATTTAACCTCAGCCATGAACCAATACATAACCGACCGGCCAATGTGTAAATCAAACAAGATGGCCCTGCTAGTGGACTGTTTGAACAGCCATTGCTTTGTTATGTGTTGGCCTCGGCAAACAAGTGATGCAATGCAGACTTATTTGCAAAAGGGGTCATAAAAGTACTTGCAATGAAGGTCATTACATCAAATATCTTCTGATCTTGGACATATGAGACCCAAAAAAAAGGCCATAGAAAAACATCAAATATTTGGCTTATCAACGATATATAAGAAGCTTCAATTAAAACAAGCAGTATTATCTAATGGAGCTGCAGCCATCCATTCTGTTTCCTAAGATTCTATGATAATTTCTCTAGAAAATAAAGATTCTATGACATTTTTACCAGATAAAATCCTTTTCTATTAATATTACATGTAACTCACATGCACAACATTATGAGAGAATGAATGCACTGTCAATGATTTAGCCATTCCATGGTATAGTTTCTTATAGACAAATTTTGATATTTATGTATATGGAAGTGAAACAGACAATAATGAACACTAATTGGATACAATACATCGATGGACTTTAAGGCACACTACCATTGTTGCATTTGCTTTAAGACAAAAGTATGCAATCAACACACGAGCCTCTAAGCACATGGAGGCAACAGTGTTTGATTATGTCTCGAGTGTTTCATCTGCATGTTTTGCAGATGAAGCACATCAATACAGCGGAAAAAGAATCCGAACCGACTCCACTAGGTGATTATATATCCTCTACAGGACAAGCACGTTAGCAGCTCCGACCATAAAACAAAATCAAAAGACGTTTTCAGCTACAACCAGCATGGAGTATCTAAGTGCTTGAAATTCCTTTAAAGAATCATGCCACTAAAAAGATCAAAGCCCAAGCTCTGAATTTGTGAAACTCTAATGATTGAGAACTTGTGAATGCTTGATCTCCTGGATGCCATTATTGATCTTTTGAGTATCAACTAGAATGAGTCATAATCCACATCCCACATGATCATGATGGTGGAAATCTGTCTTTAGCCCAAGACAATTAACGACACGGCAATTGATTTTCTGCTAATATCAAAATGACTAAGATCAGTCACCAAAAGGCGTAATCAATTCACAGTATGGGAGGGACCTAAAAATTGGGCTCTGCTTAGGTCGGAAATGTATGCAAAATCTTCCAAGCCTCTTGGGCACATCATCGGAGAGATGACCATTGTTTATTAGCACCTCTTATTCTATCATACACATTGGCCATAGTGTCACAGAAGATATTAGATCTCCAGGCTCGTCACCCATCCACCGTTTCAGAATGGTATATGAAGACTCTTGCACATACTGTTTGATCTAAATCACGTAATTACAAGGACAGACAGGGCTTTGCTGCTTCATCGTTCACAATGCTTCCTTCCCCTTTCCGGTTTCTAGGACTTCCATCAAGACACATAAGAATACCTCTGTCACTCCTCGCCACTGTCGTCTACAATGGTTCCCCTTTCCGATTCCTAGGACTTCATCATAATACATAAGAAGAGAGGAGGAAAAGGCGCACCTTAATGTGTCCTCCGGCATCCTTAATGGCGTCGATGATCTTGGTCTGATCCTTCAACTGCCAGGAGCCGACGGCGGAGATCACCACGTCCACCTGCTGGATCGCCCTCACCAGGCTGTCGGGATCATGCAGATCCCCCTACCAGTTAAAGAAGAGGACAGCACGCTTATCAGAGTCTACAAGAGGGAAAAATAATTCCCGCCTAGGACAGAAGATTACCTGGAGGAAGGTGACGCCGGCGGCCTGGAAGTCGTGGAGGAGATTGGCCTTGGCGGGTTGGTCGGCGGGCGCGGTGGTGCTCCGGACGAGGGCGAAAGTGGGGTGCCCGGACCGCGCACTCGCCGCCACGATGAACTTGCCGATGTACCCCGTACCGCCAATGATCAGGATCTTGCTCTTCTCCGCCATCCTCTTCTGAGATCGACGAGTATATGGCGCTCACTGTTGGGCGGCGTACGGTGGAGGAGGATGGGCGGAGAACCGTGAACTGATCTATTTATCGCAGATTCATCAGTAGGGTTCGCTAGTCTGGCCGAAATTACCGTACCTGCCATTCTTGCGTTCTTTATGAGAAAGCTCTGAAGTTGGAGGAGCTTATTGCAGTCTTAGGATAAGCAGAACCAAAGTTGGAGGTCGTAACCAGAGAAGTTGGAGATTATTGCAGTATATATATATATATATATATATATATATTATAATAATAATAATAATAATAATAATAATAATAATAATAATTTAATTTCAAAACTTGCAGAATTTAATTTTTTATTTCTTCTTATATGTTTGATTGTTGATTTGTATGCCATATGGATGGTCAAAATTCGAGTTAGCAAAAGAAATACAAACCTAATCATGACCATACATCGGCTGCAGAACTCGAGGTTAAAAGGAGGTAGCTTACCCTCCTTATGTCGATCTAAGCTCTGGTACTGTTGTACACACATAGGTAGATGCCAGTTTCCACTTCATCAGCAAGCATGAACACAAAACAATCAACTCGCTGTTCCAACTATTTCGACTCATTGTATCAGTTCCTTGAACAAGAGGTCAGTCTCTAGGTGAACAAGATATTGTCTCCTGCCGCCGTGCAACTTGAATACATTTTAGGTCACCAAATTGGATGAAGTAGCTCCGCATACACATGCGTATCTGCTGCCAGATGACATGTTGATGATAAGAAATCACGTTGGTGCTCAGGACGAGTTTTGGATTCTTCAATCCATGCTAATTGAGGATGTTGCGATGAAGTCTCTCATTTGTTCTTGTCGCACAAGCGACGATCGCATGCCAACGTACTGCGGAAACTAAATGCAAAAGCAAGCATGACGTATATTAATATGTATGCTGTGTTTATGGAACCATGCATTGCGTCCCCTGTTGTCAGCCTTCCCCAGCCTGGAGTTCTTAGGCTTATTCAGTGGTATTCAATGGAGATCTCCAGTGACTGAGTTTAGTTGCCGTCTCGTGATTGTTGTGGTTGTGGTCATACCAAGGAGTGAAGCAGGCATCAGTTGTACCCTAAACCTCACCCGTGATCGTTGCTGTGAAGAGACGGTATTGTACTGAATGAGCTGTATGTGGCTCACCTTATTCATTTGGTCGTAAAGACAGAAATGCTATGCAGCAAATCTGCTTGTCTTGACCCTGAGAAACTTAGAGCATCACTGAAGATGAACCTAATATTTAATTCATCGTTTACTGTATCATAGGGGGATCCCTCGAGATCTCGATGCTATGGCTTACAGGAAACGAGAAAAAGATTGTACATGACACTGCAATGAAATCAATGGAGACCAAACAAAGAATAAGACAAGGAATTCCTTGCAATGGACGTCCCTTTTGTCGAGGAGAATGGCCGCTGCTATTAAAACCTTTCCTTCCTCCTTTCGTGGCAACAAACTTCGGTCTCTCCCTCTCTCACCCACAGCTTGATACAAGACTAGTAGGGGAAGAGAGAATACAGGCATGACCAGCCTTCGTTCAAGGGGCTCACTGACCACCCTCCTCCTCCTCCTCGTGCTCATGGCATGCTCATCCTTTGCCACCTGTGGTGCGACAAGGGACTGGCAACTCGACTCAAGTCAAGCAGGAAAGAAGGGAAAGTCCGGCCACGGCAATCACGGCCACCCAAAACCGAAGCCTAAGCCATGCCCGACTCCGAAACCTAAACCCAAACCGAGCCCAACTCCACAGCCGAGTCCCAGCCCGTCTCCACCACCTCCCCAAGGAGGAGGCATGTTCATCGTGCTGGATTACGGAGCTGATGGCGATGGGGTAACCGATGACACCGAGGTAGGTGAAATGCTCGCTAGATTACAACTAATATTACTGATTTCTGGTCAGCTATCGTACGTTATATGCCATTCCGATGTATGTAACTTATTCCACTTGGAATATGGTATCCGGCGATGCAGGCATTCCAGGCTGCATGGGAAGCTGCCTGTCACGGGGCTCCATCGAAAGTGATTGTTCCATCCAACTTTGAGTTCCTCGTCGGTCCAATCTCATTCTCTGGCCCTTGCAAGTCCAACGTTGTGTTTCAGGTCAATTACATAACTTAGACAATTCTCCAAGATTGAAACTTTCAAGATTAAAACTATTAGAGGTTCTGCAGGTGGACGGCAAGATCATCGCTCCAAGTAGCGGCCGGAAAGCATGGAGCTCAGGTCTATTACAGTGGCTTGAATTCAGAGTGCTAAAAGGAATCAGAATTGAGGGCCGAGGCATCATCGAAGGTCAGGGCAGTGCCTGGTGGAGCAACAGCTCGTCTCTGTTAGGCTCCGAGGTCAGCGGACAGTTGCCGCACGTCAAACCTACGGTAAGAACTCGCCCAACCTAAAGCTTTTATCTTTTGAGTTACTGCGGTGATAGATAGATAGTAAATGCATTCTGGTATCTCATTGCAGGCTCTGAGGTTCTACGGAAGCTCTGATGTCACGGTGAGTGGCATTACAGTTCGGAACAGCCCGCAGGTCCATCTCAAGTTCGATAGCTGCCAAGCCGTCGAGGTCACCGGTGTCACCATCTCTTCCCCTGGAGACAGTCCCAACACTGACGGCATACATCTGCAGAACTCTGTGAACGTTTTCATCCATAACACCGACTTGAGCTGTGGTAATAATTCTAAAGCGTATTAAGAAAATAAAGAAGAAAAACCTGAGAGGCAGCTAATGAGACAGATGCTGATGTTATTGGCCATTACATATCATACTGGCTAACACAGAGATACATGCGTCTGCTCGATAGGTGACGACTGCATCTCCATCCAGACCGGATGCTCCAACATCTTGGTACAGAACGTGAACTGCGGGCCAGGCCACGGGATCAGCATCGGAGGCCTCGGCAAGGCCGACACACAGGCTTCTGTATCCAATGTCACCGTGCAGAACGCCAACATCGTCGGCACAATGATCGGTGTCAGAATCAAGACTTGGCAGGTAGATCGATCGATATATCGATCTCCTCTGTTCTCTAAGACATGCATTCTTTACCTCTTTCGATACATCATGCTTCTCCTCTGTTGCTTGCGGCAGGGCGGATCAGGCTTCGTCAAGTGCATAAGATTCGCAAAGATCAAAGTCTCAAATGTAAAGACACCGATCGTCATCGACCAATTCTACTGCGACCACAGCGAATGCAAAAACCAGACTTCGGCGGTAGCATTGTCGGACATCACATACGATGGCATCGTGGGAACTTACACGGTCCAGCCAGTGTATTTAGCATGCAGCGACAGCAAGCCATGCCGCAACATTCATCTCAGCGACATACAGCTTCAGTTGCTGAAACAACGGGGCCGCACCGACGATCCTTTCTGCTGGCAAGCCTACGGCGACCTGCAAGGCCCCATCGAACCACCCATCACCTGCTTGCGCAGCAAAAACAAAAGATAAAAATAGATGAAACTCGTCATTAATAAAATTGATTTAAATAATTAAAATTAGATGAAACAAAAGATATAAATTTAGATTAATATGAATAAACGAGAGTGAGAAGATTTATTAGAATATAATAATTGTTTATTATTATTATTATTATTATTATTATTATTATTATTATTATATATATATATATATATATATATATATATATATATATATATATATATATATATATATATATATATAATCTTTTGACTAATATAAATATATATTTTTGAATGAATCCAAAGCACTTCTCGTTTTTTCTCTTATCCATTTTTTTCTTAAAATTCTATAGAAGGTCATAAATGAGACGAAGACTTCGTCGATTAGAAAAGAAGAGACGACCAATAGATAAAAATAAAAATAAAAAAAAGACAAACATTGGAATAAATATTTCTAATCAACTTCTTCCTATTTTCAAAAGAAAAACATATCATTTTGGGTCATTAAAATGAGATATTTATTTATTTTATAAGGATTATAAAATTTTATAAAAAATAATTTTATTGAGTATAATCTATCGGATCTTAATATTATTAATGATAAAAAAGATCAAATGAACGAGAATATATAAAAATGTGTAAGAGTTCTCTAGATGCTAAAACAAAAGCCTAAAAAATATTAAAAAGTGGTTCAAGACATAAATAAGGTAAAAACTTTAAAGTTTCAAATTCTTCAATCTAAATTCGAAACTATGATGAAAAATTTTGAATCTATTATTGATTTTCTTCAAAAATCTCTTTTATTTTAAAACAAATTAGATCTTACAGTGAAAACCTAAAAGATCAAACTATAGTAAAAAAAATTAAAAGAGTTTATTTTAAAATTTGATATAAATTTTATTACTATAAGTGAATCAACATTATGACATAAAAGGTCATCTGAATTATGGTAGACTTGAATTGTTAAATAAAAAAATATAATAGTTGGTTTACCTAATATTAAAAATAAAGATATTATTTATGAATCTTATATTTTTCAAAAATAATATAGAAATTCCTTTCAGATAAGTCATTCTTGAAGAGCCAAAAAATGATTGGAACTTGTGCATATGGTCAAAGTAAATATTTTTTATTATTTATAAATAATTGCATAAGGATGATATATGTATATTTTCTAAAAGAAAAATCAAGCCTTCTCTGTTTTAAAAATTTTCAAGGTATATGTAGAAAAATAAATTGATTGTTTTATTAAGACCGTACATTCTCATAGAGGGTTGAATTCACTTCTAAAGATCTTTTTATTTTTTATAAGAATACAGACATTCATAGAGAATCAGTTACAATCACACCCTTCAACAAAATGTAGTAATAGAGCAAAAGAATCGAGTAATGGCTGATACTATCAAATGTATGTTTAAAGAAAAAATAATTTCAAAAGAGTTTTGGCAAAAAATTATGAGTATAATAGTATGTTTGTTAAATCACTTTCCTACCTACATAGTACAAGAAAAAACACCGCAGGGACAAAAAGAAGGCAAGATATAAGTCATTTAAATATACTTGGTTGTGTTGCTTACTTTTATGTTCCTAGAAAAAAGAAAAAAAAAGGAAACAAGTTGGATGACAAAAGTGTTAAATGCATATTTATGGGGTATAGTAATGAGACATATGATTTTAGACTTTATGATCTTACAACTAAGAAACTAATTATAAATCGTGATATTATTCTTAATAAAAAAAAGTTTGGAACTATAAAGCAGTTGAAATTTTAATAATTATAGGAGAAGAAGTAGATAAGGCATATGATATATTGCCTGTTATTAATACATCACCAAAATCTTCTCATATTTTAACTTATTCTAATTCAGGTTATTCTAATGATAATGAAACACCTCAAAGAAAATTTCTTAATCTTTCACATATATCAGTTTAGTGATTTAGCTTGTTTTACCTTGAAACTTATTTGTTTTGAAGTTGCAGCTTAGAAAGAAGAATATATACAAGCAATGAATGACGAAATGCAAGCTATTGAAGAAAAAAAAGACTTAAAAATGGATAGATTTGCCCTAGAAAAAAAAAAATAGATTCAAATGACTATAAAAGTTAAAATTTAATAATGATGACTTGTTTTAAAAAGATAAACCCATTTAGGTATGAATTTTTCAAAAAAAATTCTTTACTAGAATCAATATAATTACAATAGTATTAGCATTAGCAATTCAAAAAAAAATTTTATTTATGAATTTATTGATAAAATTAAATTTTAAATATATTACTATAGCATGGAAGATCATCTTACCAAAAGCTTTGATGAAAAAAATTTTATGTTTTCCAAAGATAATTTTAAATTACAACTATTTTAAATTCCAAAGATATGTTTTCTAAAGATTAATTCAAATACTTAAAATTAGATAAAAATAAAAATAAAAATTTAGATTAAGATAAATAGATAAAGCTGAGGAGATCTATTGACATACGATGAATTTATCTATTATCTAAAAGAATTTATATTTTATTTTTAACTAATATAAATATATATTTTTGAATGAATTCAAAGTACTGTAGATTAAAAGTATATATATATATATATATATATATATATATCTTCTTGTCTGTCTTATATATTGATGAGGGTAATAATTACGATAAGACTCGCATGACACCCGTTGACGTCCCGCTCCCCTATTAGTCTGACATCGCATGATTGACACAGGTCAAAACGCCAACCGAGGCCCATTAACGATCGCTCAGGTTCGGTTCCACACGCTACGCCGATGGCTATGTCAGACGCCTGCCCGCAAGGTACGATCTTACCCCTTGCGGGCAGGCGCATCAGGTAACACCGAACCCCCCTTATAAATACCCTTGCATCCCGAACAAAAAGGGGGAGACCAACATATACAACAAACCCCCAGCGACTATTCACTGGATCGTCGGAGGGATCGGGTCGAGTTCTCTCGTCCCGACCTGTGTGTAGGAACAAAGGCGAGACGCTTTTCTCCGGGCGCGTCGGCAAGGAACCTCCTCGCGAAGGAATCGACGACCCGTCATCTGGACCCGAACCAAGCCGCGTCGACCCGGAGGTCACGAC